AACAAATAGGTGCATATAACATAAATCAAGGTAGCCGTTAACACTTTTAAATCATATATAAATCATCAAAGAAAGGTAAATACAGTGTTCGAATAAAGGACTTAATAAATACATCGTGTAGCATAGCTCTCAACGAATGTAGTCCTGTAAATAAATAAATTCATTTATTTACTTTTCTTTGATGATTTATATATATATATATATATATATATATATATATAATACAATATAATATAATGGTTGGATCTCAGTAGAGATCTAAATTTGATAAGCAGCAGCTAATAAGTAAACATAAACAACCAGAAATAGAAACAGAGCTTTCGGACAACACTAGTCCTATAGATATATACATAAATTGATTATCTTCAAAATAGCATGATGATAATGATAATTGTCGAGGTTATTATACTGTACAAAACGTTAAGAAAATAAATTAGATAAAATGATGAAAACCTGACCTCCGCAAGTTTGTCAAAATTGGCAAACAGTGCGTTAAGTGTCTTGACGAGCTCTTGAGACGTCAATTTCGAAGACATTGCGGTAAATCCCACGATATCGGCGAACAAAATACTGAGGTTAAAGAGGGGCAAAACAATATAACATTTTAAAGATTAATCAACATGTCGTATGTATTAAATTATCATCTACATAAATATGTATTGTTTCGCATCAATTTATTTTGCATTGTGGTTCTTGTAGTTTTATTTATTATTAATCATTATAGCGTGGAAACGACAGCAATTTCGAACTCGTTTTTGTGACTTTTGTTATTTTCTTGGTGTTTTTTGTAATCCTGTTTGTTAGTTATTGTCTGGTGACTTCGGTTGATAACTTTTCTTTTTCATTTAATTCATTTCGTGGAATCTTACGTTTTGAAACCTAGGCCTAGCCCCGACAATGGACTGCTACAGAACACATTACAATAGCATTCAAATGATGTTTCAGCCCATTGTTTTCTTAAATGAAGTAAGGAGCCAGTCTCACGTCACAAGTGAATACCAGTCCAAAGCTCTTAACTATAATAGCGGATACCAACGTAAACGTAGTAGAGCGTAGAAGAGTAGAAGAGGTGGAAGACAGATCAATTCCACGTGACACACCAACAAAAACGCAAGTCAAGTTACCGGTTTTCCTCCTCACCAATGCCCGTTCTCTTGTCAACAAATTAGAAGAAGTAGATTTATTATTTGATGATGCTTCTTGCTTTATATTCTTTTTTTTATCTTTTCAATCCAATTGATTTTTTTTTCTTTTTAAATATTTTATCATTTTTGTTTAATTTATTTTTTTTAAATTTAATTTTAATTGTAATTTTTTGAAATCTTTTATCTCTAATTAACAATTGTAAATGTTGTGAATGTTGTAATTTTGATATCTATTTTTTTGTTGTAATACAGTATAACATGCAAGTTGACCTTAAGGGTCACTATTTGTTGTAATTTTGATAGAATTTGTTTGAAGTTTGAATAAAGAATAATATATAATTTATTTATCTTGAATTTATTATAATACTACCGTAATAATTATTATTATGAATAACTGGTTGCATTTTTGATTCGATCATTTACCAGGAAACAGTTAGATTTACCGTATTAGAACATGATAATTGTGTAGATAAGTAGGCTATGTTATTAAATTCCTTACAATATGTTTGTTCTTGTGAGGTTTACTTATGTATTTTGTACTTTAAATGTAAAGCGCATTTGAACATAAATTATGAAAAGAGTGACAATATGTGGTAAATAAATAAATAAATCAATACACTATAGAAGTTGCTATGAAGACGTTTACTGTAGATGCGGTTTTTGTTATAAGCATGTAAACAATGGAAACGTTTCATTGAACATAATTGCACATTGCATGCAGTGCTGAAAAACCCAACACTATAATATAACGTAATATCATTATAAAAATGAATTTCGTTGAAGCCTTCAAGCTGTATTCATATATCAAAATCTCATCACATTCAACGTCAATACCAGCAACCGATTTCGACGAGCATCCTTGAGATAATTATAAGTCTAATAAAAATTTAATCATCATTTTATTGTTATTTCACAATCATTTTCGTGCAAAGCATTAATACAAACATATTTTCCCCATACCTTACACTTTCGTGTCGACTGATGTAAATTCGACTAAATGAACCTTTATTTTCTTGGCCAAACGATTTTACCATATCATCGGCAATGTGTTTCGGTAAAACAGACAACATGAGATCCTCCTGTGAAATAAAAAGTTGACAAGATAATGACTGCCCCAAATTTAATATTTCTGTAAAACATATTTGATAAGCCTACCCAAATTAACATACTAAAAAAATTTCAAGTCTGAGTGTGATATTTCCGATAAGTTTTAGAATTACCTCAGCCCCAAGCATGCTATGTGGCTGGTTAGATCATGGAGGAATAAAAAATGTTGGACAACATACAATTAAACAAGGCTCAAAATGTTTTTCAAACAAGGCAGGTGCCTTTCTTATTCTCGACCCATTTAAATGATGGTGATGTGAGTTTGGATTTTAATAATATCCCCAGTAAAACCAATTTTTATTATCTATTTATTAATTTATTCGGTATAAGACACTCAAAATACAACAACACTTGAAAATCTTTTGAGTTTACATACAAAAAGATGCCTATCAAAACAAAAAACCGACACAAAATACTATACTGTACAATCAAAAATACAAATAAGCCTCCAGTAAATGAAGTTAAGGAAAACAAAATTATAAAAAAAGCAATTTTTACAAATATATAAAATATATTTTAATTCATTATTATCAAATATATATTATTCTATTAAAAATTACACAGAAATTGATTATAAATTATACAATTCATTAAAATTGATTAAAATAAATTATATTCTAATATTCTTAGCAAATTCTTTAAAAATTACCAAAAACATCATAAAAGTCAATTACTTAATAGGCTTATGACTAGAAAATCAAGTGAGTTGATTCAAAAAGCATTTAATTCCAATAAATCATGGTACAAATTAAACACTTGAGAGCGATGAGGTACAAAAACGACTGGTCCTACAGCGTGGTACACTTTACTTGTTGGAGTTACGTAATAATATTTCTGGTTTGGGGTTCTGGTGTCTCAAGTAAAATCAAACTGATATATCTTTCATTGTTCACTATTATGTCTATATATGATCATCAATACAGTTTAAAAATGAGCCCAACAGTCAGCAATACGCATAAAAATGGGTCCATCTTAAAACTCTGTCCAGACTATAAAATTTCCTTTGAAAAAAAAAACTGTTGTATGCCCATATATAGTCATGATGTGCCTATATATGGTCATGATGTGCCTATATATGGTCATGATGTGCCTATATTATGTTTAGATATGTCAAATGTTTTTGTCAAATAAAATTTAATAGTCAGAACAGGGCTTTAAATGAGTCCACGCTTGTCCACAGTTTGAAAATCATGGCACGGCATTGTAGTCCGTCAAAAATCACCTTAACCATGGTATAAGTTCCTACCTCAACCAAACTCAAACCGTAGGTTCTTTATGTATTGGAAAGATCATATATTGTTGTTGCGTTGTACAAAATGCGGGATTTAAGGGAAAAAAGCAAGTTTTATAACCAGATTTAGCCGCTTGTCGCCGTCGATTGTTTACCTCGAGAAGTGACGTCACGAGGCTAAAATAACGATACGCCATTTACGTATCTACAAAACGAAGGTTAAGATCACAGAAAGTCAATTTTTTTTCTTTTTCTTTATTAATCTGTATCTATGCACAGGGCAATTATGATCTCTATGGAGTGACCCATCTAGTTAATGGATGAATGGATGGATTTATTTGCTTTAAAAACTAAGGATAACAGACAATAGTCTGAAGAACAATATCGGAAGAAGACGTTTCTCTGGAAATTCATACATTAACCATACTTTGTACACAAGTACTGCGCACTTAATTGTTATATGAGTAACTTAAGAGTACATTAGTAATTATATATGTAATAATTTACAAATTATATCGGATGGTATGATCGTCAAATGATACTAACCTGTCTTTCTCTCTCGGTGTCAAGTTTCATTTTGAGCTCGAGGGACCTTTTTGTTTCCATAAATGCACGTCGTTGTTTCTTATCAAGCATTAGAAAACTTATGGAGCCAACCAAAATAACACACGCAAACAAAAGTATATTCGCCCCAATCTATAAACAAAATGAAACACCCCATTTTACATATTATATAAAATATACTGTACACAAAAGAGACGAAATACAACAATATTTGGGATACACCAACTGGTATCAGAGAGCGAGAGATCGAGACCTCTGGAAACGACATGCTAAGTTTGCCAATGCAGCTACATTTATGTTTTTTTTTATTACTTCAGGTGCATTTCATAAAACAATACAGATGATGTTGCAACAGAATAAAGCAACACTTTAAAGTTACTATACATATATGGCTATGCATAAAAAATCGATTCATTTTTCTACTTAAACCAAAATGCATGATGTAAAAGAAACAATTTAAATTCAGTCTTACATACCTACATTGTTCTGCTATTTTTAAATGCAATGTACTGTGCAATTTTTTATGCTTCTCATATACCAATTTTAAATGGTTTATATGAGGTTTTTGTCCAATAACCTTACAGTTATAAATGTGTAGTTTTGGAATAAATATTGAGTTGTTAATTGCATGATTATTTTTATGGTTTTCAATACCAAAGTATATGCTTTCTTTAGTTAAAGTTAATTTTCTTTGAATCTTTGTTCTATAACAGCTTGTAATTGTTTTCACAGAATATTAATTACTTTGCATTCAACAGACATGTGTATTAAAGTTTGTTTTTCTTCTAAGAAAAATTCACAAATTGGTGATCCAACAATATATATCTTATGAAGAAAAGTGTTAGTATAACTTATACGGTGAATAAATCTAAACTGAAAATGTTTAAGTTTTGTATTGATTGTGCATTTATGAAATGTTGTGAAAATCATATTCCACTAGAATCGAAAATTTTCCCACATACACATGCGCAGTTTAATTTTCTTCACGGAATCCTCAATTGCGCATGCCCATGGGTAAAACTTTCAGAGATTCGCTCGAATAAATTCGCTTAGTGGAAAACGGCCTTTATTCGTACCTACATTGATCTCAGGAAAATGTAAAAGAAGGCTTACCTGTGGTCCGATGTCCTTTCCTTTAGCCTTTATTGCAATGATGATGCAATGAGTCAATGACGACACCACATTCAATGCCAGTACAGTCAATAACTTTTGAGGCAACATTACAAAAAGTCCAAATATGAAGAAAATCTGCCATCCGACTCCGCTACTAGGAACAATCGGATGATAATACATGAGAAGATCGGCGAAAGTTTGGCCACAGATAAGAAACCAGACAGCATATGGCATGATATATGTTAAAGAAAAATCGGATATCAGACGGAATTGGCAAAGAAAAAAGAGCATGAGATTACACACAAATGCTATGCCTTGAACTGTAATTACCGATCCTTTGTTACTAAGAGTGTCCATAGAGTACAGAATGATAACTGCGATGTCAAACAATAGGGCAAACGCTATTAAGACGGGGAGGGCACCCCAGCGTTGTCTCATGAAATATTCCTGATACATATCCTCCATACCTTCTTCGGTAAATCTTCTACTCATTACCCTATTCTTTAAGATGGACAGCAATGAAGGCTTTTTAACAATATCTGAATTACTGCCACTGGTTCCATAGAGACTACTCATCATGTTTGGCATTTCGAACTCGCAAGTCGAGTCGAAGTCGTTTATTATCTGCTCTGACTTATCCATATTGTTTATTTTTTGGTACAATGATGTGATGCTTTTGTTGGATTTCCAGTAAGAAGCCGAGTTTTAGTTCCAAACGTCATCCATTTTTTTCGCTGCAAGGAAAAATAAAAAACATGATATTATTGTTTCTATATAGTTTCTTAAATGAAACATGACAATCTAGTTAGTAATCGATATTTTAATATTGTAATCAACTAATAAATATATAAATACGCAGGCCTATTACCTCAGATGCTTTTGTTGACTTTATGTTAATGTAGGTCTAAACCTCAAACACTCTCATAATCATGGTCATTTTCACAATGTCAACATAGTCACATCTATACTGTAAACACACATACATTATATTTTGCTTCCACATTACATCCGCCACAAATAACTTCATGACAGACAGGCCTGCATTATTGTCAGCTCTGGTACGATTGGCAGAAACGCAATCATCCAACAACGCAATCCATTTATTTCAACAAACCCGGACCTAAAATTTAGCATATCACGGTAAACACTTATGACCAAAGGAAAAGACCAACAATTCTCCTAAAACCTCTACAACACATCGCCAGTAAGTTTCATCCCATATTTGACAATATTTTATGGTACATAAACATCATAACACCAAATAATCATGCTTGCATAGCCTGGTACATAGTCTACAACCACTTAAAGATTGTCTATAATGCCCCTTTCCCACATTCACGATTTTTTTTTTTATGTGTATTTTTTAAGTCAGTAAAGCCGGACACTCACTGCGATGTACGACGGTAGTACGACCGTCGCACGACGAATTCACATTTACTTCCGGCAAACGGCAAACGACGCAACGCCGTTTGCTGATTGTCAGTGGCAATCTGAACGGATCCTCAAAAGGGGGGGTGCGGGGATGAAACGATTGATTTTTAATTTAAAATAGAGGGATGGGCGACCACAATGACGGTGACGGCACTCGATTTTGGAGCGCAGTATTCGAAAACGAGGCTCGTGAACTGGGTCCCAAAAAAAAACTGGTGCTACAGGATTTTGAGCTAGTGTTATAAGATAGGGAATTTCCTAAAATGTACAGACTTTCAAAGGCTTGCATTCGGTAACCCCATAAAAAATCGTGTCAAACTTTAGATATTCCAATGTAAATTTGGCCGTTCTTTTCATTTATATGGGTTTTCACAAATGTTCACATAAACAAAATTACAAATGAGAGTTGAGCCTACACTGAAAATAACAAGATGAATCCTAACAAAAATGAAGCTCACCCCAAAAGAAATAATATTAAAATAACAGATAAAAATTAAACGGAACTTATAACCTTTTTTTTTTTTACAAATAATCATGTTACACTTCCAAATAGATGAAAAAGAAAACTACAAAATGATGAAAACAATTTTAACCCATGTATTTACCGTGTTTATTCGAAAAAAACGCACCGGGGCGTTTAATGTTGAGAAGGGACGAGGGAGGCGTTTATTTTTTGGGTGTAAAATGAATACGTATACTGTACTCAAATAAACGGCCCTTAATTTTACTGTTAATATGGAACTACAACATATAATTACCGTTAAAATGTGTTATTGCGTGATCATAAAGACTTATTGATCCCAGCCAAATGTAACATTAATAGAATGTATTGAGAATGATATTGCTTCCATTGTATTTGCTTAAGTGAGTGGGAGTTTATTAAAGGAAAAAATAAACTTTATTCGAGGGGCGTTTATTTCAAATGAGGGTCTAGAGGGGGCGTTTATTCCAGAGTGCATTTATCCAAAGCGGGGCGTTTACACTTTCTTTTTTTTTAAGAACCAGTAAAATTTTGCCCTAGCTCAGTGTTCTTATTTTGTCCTTATGTTACAAGCTTTTCAAACATACAAATGTATTATTGTACCAGTATACTGTACACTGTACTGGAATGTAGGTAAAAGTACCCCAGGAAAAACTGGCCCCGAAAAAAAAAGGTCACTGAAAAAACGTCCCCAGAAAAAAGGTTCCGGTAAAAAAGGCCCCATATGACAAGCAGGTATACACCTCCTGTACTGTATTATAGAGTGTATTACATAATCACACCTACTGCACATAAGGTACAGTACAGATATATTTTTTTGTTTTTCTAGTTTTTTTTAAATAAAAATCTCATTGGACATTTTACCTCAGCCTCAATTTGTTCTTATTTTGTTCTTAATTTTTAAGTAATTTCAGCCTCAGTGTTCTTATAAAATGTGTTCTTATTTTTAAAAAAAAAGTGTATTCGAATAAATGCTGTAGGAAAACGAAATAAATTTAATTTAAATTCAAGCATGAGGTAAGCCTTTAGGCATTAGTTAGTCCTTTATCTTCCATTCATTGCCAGCTTGATTTGCTGTCATTTATTATTAATATTACCAGCCTCATATTGGCACGGCTAACACTGTATCTACTTCACACGCCTAATGAAGCTGACATCGGCTGTCAGAAAAAAGCTGGTGTAATGATAATGATAATTTATTCGGAAACTACACCTTTGAAACAGTGGCACACTTTACATGATAAAGGTGCGTCCAAAAATAAAACTTCCAACAGAATACAGCACACTAAAGAAAACAAAGCACAAATTGAGTAAACATAATTCAAGAATTTGACATAAATAACACCGAAACTTGTTACTTGTTACTTGTTTTGTTAGCCGTCCTCTAACTACCAGGCCGTCATTGACTGATATCAGTTGAAATATACACTGCTTTTTGACAGGGAGAGACCAGCATAGTCTGTGCTATAATGTTGTGTACATGTATCTTTGCATAGTTGGTATAATGCATACTTACTTATTTATTTTATTATTATTATTATTATTATTATTATTATTATTATTATTATTATTATTATTATTATTATTATTATTATTATTATTATTATTATTATTTTTATTATTATTATTATTATTATTATTAATTTTATTATTATTATTATTATTATTATTATTATTAATTGTTTGACTTATTTAATTAATTGACTTTTAACCCAAGGCGGGACCCTTGCAGGTACTCTCGATCCTCCCGGGACAAAAGGATACTGGAGTTAGTCTTAATGCATCATTGGTTAGAATAAAACAACTACCGAATAAATCGAATAAATGATCTAATACAGGGGTGGGCATTAAAATGGGTCGGAGGGCCAAAGTGAATTGTGATTCAACTCCGGGGACCACATGCGGCCGCACTTTGCCAACCTGTGATTAAATACAATATAACATGTCCTCTTACATAAATTAACCCACCTACTATAACTGATTCTTTAAAATAAAATAAAAAGTTAATATGTAAATGAATAATTTATTTTATTTTAAAGAATCAGTTATAGTAGGTGATTCTTTAAAATAAAATAAAAAGTTAATATTTAAATGAATAAATTAACGAATATAGAAAAAAATGCAATAACTTTTATTAGCCTGGTATTGGCCAGCTATATTGTGTGTGTGTGTGTGGGGGGGGGATGGGGTTTCATTCATTTCATAATAATACATAAACAAGAGAGGAAATTACAGAATATGTGCAATATAACAGAACTCATAAATTTCTTAGATTGTTAAAAAACGTTAAAAAGAAACATCAATGTAATTGTCAATACAATTTTATGGAAGTTGAATAGAGAGATAATAAAATTATACTCCACTTAATATATATCCATAAGATCTTATTAATAGGTCCATGGTTTTACTAAGTGTATAAATAAATACTGAATAATTATAATAAATGCTCTGATGATGTTAATTTATAATTTCTAGTGGATGGTCAGAAGCCGATTTATCATATCAGTCTATAAGTTTTTTATTTGAAATCACGAACACTCTCGACTACCGTTACCTCTCTCATTATATATACAGAAGTGTATTTGCATTTATACATATTACGATGGTTTTTTTTTTTTTAAATAAAACGGTGGCTTTGAAATTATTGTAGGTAAGCAGATTGGCCTACACAAAAAGTCACATGATAGACCTACTGTTTCTNGGGGGGGTCCTTTTAAAAAGCCAGAGGTATAGTACCGTAGTGCCTCATGCGCCATGATGACTTGTTGAGGTACAGTTAAAGAACTGCTCTTGGTTCCGAGGGCGAATTTCATATCGAGATGAAGTAAATGGTAAATTGTTACTTGATGCCAATAGGTTTTAATTATGTGCTAAGCTCGCCACATAGAGACAGAACGCCTGACGCGGGATCTTTTCAAAGTGAGCATATGAAATGTTGTAGCTTCTCAAATATGGCAGCAGTACAGCGTTTGTTTATATGTATAAAATCCAAATTGGTCTCTCTTTTTATGTTAGCTTTTGTTAACCATTAAATATGTTTCTTCAAGCTAAGGAAAAGGAGTACGTTTAACTTCAAGTAAGCAACCTAAATCAAACAAGTTTGCCCAGCTGAGATGGGGTAGGCCAATCGGAGGAAAGTTGCAGTTGATGGTTAACAATTGGGCCTTACCGAGATTGAAAGTTCAAGCACTTATATAAGGCCTATAATATTTTGTAAAATTGTAAATGATATTATATTAGGCCTATGCTATCAATATTGTAGGCCTATATAACTTCATGATAACCATGATAATTAAAGGGTTTATTCTTAAAAAAAAAAACAAAAAAAAAAAAACTCTGTTGAAACATTAAATCCCCATCGTAGATAAATTGATGAAATTTAGTTCTAGGTGGCCAGCAATCAATTGTTTAATATTATTAATTAATGAACAGCAGTATAAATGACGCACTCTAAAGAAATCCTTAATTTTAAAAGACAAATACATTTTTCATTTAACTAAATAAATTATGTTAAATCAATGTATCTTACCCATCATAGTTTTCTACTAATAGATGATTTTTACGACGTAACATTCCAATCGGTGGTCCGAAGACAACAAACTGATCTCCATATTTATTCGACTAAGAACACACACGACTCATCATCATCATCTAAGATTTGATTCCACTGTGAATCCGAGTTCATAAAACGCTGCGCATATAATTATCATCTAGCGAGCAATCACTAGCCAATTTACATATACCTACGCAATTACTGGTCCCGTCATTTAGTGCTTGTCGTACTTGGCACTCAATAGTTCGTCCAATAACAATCATGGATGCTCACATTCATCAAGTGTACGGCATCTATTTTCTCTTAGACGTTGAATCAAATTAATTTGTAGAATGCTATGACAACATCAACTGTACTACATTGCTAAGCAACAAAATCGATTGAGTCGGAATACAATAGACAATTGACAACGACAGGTTCTTAATGTGCAATGGAGATGGAGACTGATTTTCATAAAATGTTGATTGTTGACAACTCACTGGTCATTTCTGCTGTGTTCATAGTACTATCATAACAATTCCAACGTATTACTTCATTAAGATAGACCACAATCTTCTCCATGTATACTTATCAAACACTGAATGCTTCAATATGTTCGATTTTTTAAACTGATTTAATGGTCATTATTGTTTTTATGTGGGAGGGGTTTCGGTTTCTCAACCTCAAGATCGGGGTTCGAAACTTCGCTGTGCAATTCGCTTGTGTTCTGGGACAAGACACTTCGTTTGCCTCTATCCACCCAGGAGTATAAATGGGTTCCTGGTGGTTCACTACTGGAGAGCAAGAGCGGCGTGGAATGGAACTGGCCACTCTACCACACAATGCCGAAGCTTAGTAAGATGGGTTAACAGCTCATTCCCCTACATTCAGTAATGAATAAGGGACTACCTTTACCTTATTGTTTGTAAATACATTTACAAAATGTTGACCGAATGTATAGTCTTGCTACACGCACTTGGCGAATGCTGTCAGATTGGCATTGTACACCACTTTTTGATTTACTAAGTGGTCGGTATTGATTTCATAGTATTATAAAAATTTTGACTAAACACTTAAAATGTTTTAATATATTCATTATTGGTCATTAATCTATAGCTGTTGAATGTCAGGCCCGTAGGCAGGGTGTGCGGAGGGTGCGGACGCACCCCCCACCACCAATTCCAAAAGGTCCACTTTTTACAACCTATGATTTCACAAAATCGTTTCTAATTATCACAAAATGCTATAGCATGCATTGCATTATACATTTGCCAGCTTATCTAACCGTTGATTTTTAATAATGCGGTATGAAATTTGTTAGAAATTGATCGTCTCTGGTGACCGCAGATTGATCTATATAATATGAAGAATGTTATCTACAGGCCTGCAGATGTATAGGACATAATAACGTTACTTTTTCAGGTCCCAAAAACACCCAAATTAATGAAAATTTAAATGAAATATTCATGAATTATGTTTGAGAAATCTATTATGTAAGACCCTCAAAATGCTACTTTGTCGCTTTTCTCACAAACCCCCTCCAGGCCTCTGCCCCTGGACCACCAAATTTCAAAAAAGTCCACTTTTTAAAACCTATTATTTCACTAAAATCGTTCCTAATTATCGCGAAATGCTATAGTATGCATTACATTTTTTTGCCCGCTCTTTTACACGTTGATTTTTAATAATGTGCTACGAAATCTGTTGGAAATTATCAGCTCCAGTGATTGTAGGCCTACAGATGTAAAGGACATGAAAAATTATAATTTCACAGTGGTGGATTCAAGGGGGGAGAGCCCCCTAAAATTATAAAAGAAATTGAGAAAAAAGAAAAATCATAATTAAAGTTTGTCTGAGTGCGCCATTTCCGGCCACTTCTAGGTGCCATAATCATAAATTTTCTTACCTCAGCCCCTACCATGGTGGGGCTGAGGTGGTGTTGACCATCTGTCTGCGCAAGTTTCTCCCTTCACCCCACCCTCTATTTCTCCTGCTTTACTGTAGGTCCCTAGACAATACTCAAATGAATGAAAATTTAAATAGGATATTAAAAATTATGGATTTTAGAAATCCATTTAAAAAGGCCCTCAAAATGCTAATTTGTCAGAGCTTCCAGAAGATTTGCCACACCCTCGCGGGGATCCCTAGGCAGTCGCCCATCATGAAGGTCCACTTCGGTTGCAAAACGCACCTCCCCATCGAAAATCCTGCCTACGGGCCTGAATGTTGCTAATTGAGTTTGCCAATATGCTGCACCATTAATACTGATTTAAAGGTCACAATTGTTTACGTATCATTCGAAATCATAGATATTCTGATAACGGTAGATTACTTTCTAATTTCATGGAGCTTCATAGCCCATGCTCCTTTCGATGAAATTGTCGAAATCCATGATTTATTTTCGATTAGGGTTATTCTAAGTATAAAGCTTAAAATAATTTGAATCCAATAATATAATCATTACATAACACGATTAATGGCGGATTGTAGGCTTGGTTTGAATGATAATTAAAATAGGAAAAAAAACATGTTACGATATTCGACTGGAAAGATCGGTTTGGAAACATATCAGTCTGATTGCGCATGTTTGCTGTGCAATTAACTGTTCAAATACAGGTCTTCAAGAATAATATTATTATAATTGCATGTAAAATGTGTTTTCAGGCTATTTTATTGCAATGCATGTTGATCTCCTTCATGCATTGAAAAAAAAAGATATAAGTTTAAGTCATCATATGAGAATCATCAATTTAAAATAAAAGAGATTATTAACCAATTTAGAAATTGAAGAGGGAAATGGGAGAGAAATGAGAACGTGTAAACTATGTCAAGAAAATTGTTGAAGATTAATTTAATTAGGTCTAAATTTTACAATGTATTTTATACAATGATTTAAGAAGAAAATATATTTCACGATTCATTTATTCATTCCCATAAACAAATTAGGTATATTATTTTCGAATACCAAATTTATTATTGATTTAGGAAAATACGTTTTTTCGATTATTAAAGTAAGAAAACATTATCTTGATTTCCTTCATTAAATTTCACTTTGTGTTAGAGCTTAAAGGCCGGTGTACCACTGAATAAATTCTCAATATGGGGGAAAGAAGGAAAGATAAAAAATAAAATATTGTGTCTCATGATTTTTGCTTGGTCAATGACAAATTTACAGCAATTTTGCTGATTTTCCTTCGTTGCTATGGACGATAAAATAGTGTTGCGATGCAATTATATCAAAGGTTTCTGCAGTTTTTTTTTTTTTTTTTTTACATAATGCTATTCTATGAAAATAATAAACAATTCAGTTGTTAACAATATTCATAAAACCTATGAAAATAAAGATTTTAATAAACTTTAAGCATCCCATATAGGCCTACTTAAATTTCATGTATAAAATCGGAAATTTGACTTTGTATAGAAACGGTTGCTTGGTGATTGAAAATATAGTTTTTCGTAACGCAAGATTAATTTTCGATGATTAACAAATATTTTGAGTAAGTTTCCAATTGTTGATAATTATTATTCGAGTAATGTTATTTTTTTATATGATTTAGCTAAAACTATAAGTTAAAGTGAAAAAATGGCGGCCAATTTAAATCTGTAATTTTGAGGTGTTCCCCCAAAGGGATTTTGGGTAATTTTGACTTCTGAACTTCTCAAGACCTATATTTTCAGAAAATATCAAAATTAACCGGTAGTACTTCCATTGCCACCTCGACGATTTTAGAGGATTTTTGGCTATAATCTGCTCGCCTACATTATTTACTGGCCTTTTACTTAAATTGATTGAATTTATTTTTGTCCAAATTCAACATTCAAAAACCATGGATTGCCATAATTTTCACGAAGTGGAACGGCTAACAAATGATATTATAATAATAAAGTTTTCATTCTGTCCCACTTTCGCTTTTTATCGTTCTGTCTTAAAATAACTTTCTTCGCAATTTGCAGCTAAACGTGTTTTCCAGCTAACACACGATCAGCTGCAATTTCGTTTCAAAAGTCTGTATCAGGAGCCGTATCAGGTTTGCAGACATATTGTTAGGATATGACCTACCTTTGAGTCTTTTTTCAAGAACTATTCACCATATGTTTTCACGATATTGTGATGTATATTCAATTCCAGTGAAATTAAAAAGCACCACATAATAACTTAGGTGAACAGCAACATGTAATGAATGGATATTATCGCTCATGCTTCACTATGATTTATTAGTTTATTAATAGTTAAAATCGGAAATTGATCAACCTACTTCAGAGTAGAATTATTAGTGCTATTGCCACTTGCTTGGTTTGTTTACGAAACACATTAAAATTAGCAACTATCGATTGCCTTTAGTGTTTAGTGTTTAGAAAAGTTAATCAATTACCCTTTAGGATATTTCGAACGGCAATTACACATTTTAGCATCACCCACTCTAAAGATCATAATATTTAATCGTTACACCACCGCTATCATAATTAGATATATATAACAAAAGTGGCACCACAACAAATTAATATTGTAAACATAGAATTTAATAAGGCATAGGCCTACTTCTCAGTGTCAGATCACATGAAAGAACATATTTATCTGCTTTCGTATTTCCTCAAGAAGCAGGCTTAAAATGGTCCGACAGGGATGGATATGTAAAGAAAGGCATGTCCACTTACCTTACGATCGATTAATGGATCTAGTAACGAAGACATAGCAAAATATTACACTGTACAGTAATGCATTTTCACAAAAATTTAATAACGGCAAATGGTGCTAATGTGTAGACCTATTGTAAATGCGATCTTCAGGTTCATCACATCACGTATAATGTGTCCTTGGGATGGCCTTTATGATTATATTCTTCTAGCATTGTGACCAAAACGGATTAGATAACGACGTATCTCATTTTGCCATAAAAAAATTAATTGATTGTTTATTGTCACACTGAACCGTTTGTGAATCTGCCATACAAGATCCATGCTAAATAATGGCACGTCATAGGTAAATATGTCAGAGCATAATAGCTAAATGTGCAATGGGGAAAATTAAAATGTGCCATAAGTTAAATATTAACATATGAATCATACTATTTCTACTGCGTCATAAGTGCTACCATAGGTATTATGATAGGTAGGTCTCTTGAACTCAACTGACTTTACCGATAGCATAATTATGTCGGTTTTTTCCACGATCGTGCGTGCCATTTTTTCGGTACTACGAGCGCCTAAGTAGAACTAAATGTTCAAAGCGATGTCGCTTTCGATAGCAAAATGGTTACTAGGTTACCAATTTCAGTCGAGTGGATTGAATCAGCTAAAAATAGAATAGGATAATTAAGGGGAACAACAGTGCTCAATGATTAAGTGAGGAACGCTATGCGCTAGCTAGCAGTAGGTGATACGAGGTGGTTTTTATCTACTTTATTGTTTTGCTTTGAACATGGGAGCGGCTGGGGCGGGGAGTTTTTATGGGAGGGGGCGTGTGCACCCCCTAGGTACGCCACTGAACAATGTTTTTACTTTCTACCAAGATCATGTGGGTTACAATTAAGTCTTATAGAGATTTGTTTACTTATACTTCATGAACGTACCAATAATAATTAATTTCTAGAATTCTTGACTTACAGACCAAAAGGTATTTATATACATTGTTTAATCTTGTCTCTCCTAGGCCTACTGAAATTCTTTCAATTATTTCTTTGACGATTAGCCCTCTATCAATATAAATAGTATAATTAACGACACTTTCAAAAGAAACCATATATAGGCCTATGGTTGGACGGGATCGTTTTTGCAAAAATTAAATCTTTCCGACGGAGACTGGTATGCACATTTTATATTTGTTAAGTTATCTTATTGTTGTTATGGATACTAATTCCTCTATAGTAATTACTTTTCGCAATTTTGACCTATAAACAATGAATCGCTTCATTCAACCTACTTCAGAGTAGAATTATTAGTGCTATTGCCACTTGCTTGGTTTGTTTACGAAACACATTAAAATTAGGCCTATGGTTGGACGGGATCGTTTTTGCAAAAATTAAATCTTTCCGACGTTATTATTCTTGATGTTTAAGAACTGGTTCATAGTGACATTTTTTATATGTATGTTTTATTTTAAGAATTTGTTTTCATTTAATTTGATTTGAATTTATTATTAACATTTTTAATAGATTACGATTTCCCCCCATATTTTATGATTGATTTTTATTTTATTCATTCTATGGAAGCACCACACTAAAAACCACTGGAACTCTGTGATTTTGGATTTTGGCTAAACGCCACACATTGTCCAATTAATTTTTGTTAGACTTTTGTGCAGACGTTTTAACCACTGTGTAGTATTCGCCCTTCGATTATTGATCGATGATCACAATAATATTATTGTTCGAGCGATGCGTTGCCATGCCTGCTAAATTCTTCGTACTGATCGATCGAAAAAAAAGACAAGACAGATGTATTATCGGAAGATCAATAAACTAAAGGTATTGGACCATACTTAATATATTATATATCTGCGCTTTTAAAATCACGGGAACTTAATGCATTTTTTCTGAATGGTTAGGAGAGGGTTTTAAAGAAGTAGATTTGTCCGGAACGGAGGAAGGAAGTAGGCCTAGGGCCTAGGCCTCAACTAATTAGTATTATTAATGTAAATATTACTAATTTATTGTCGTTATTGTTGTTTAATATTATTGTTGAAGTAAAATGTTGTGAGTAAACAGAAGACGAACACATTGATAAAACTCTTTTTAATTCATAGGCAATAGCATTCAAATCTCTTTTGGTAGTGTGGTGGTCCTGTTTTACTAAAACATACTGTGTACTTTATTTCAATCATATATTGAAGAAAAAGGATGCAAAAGCTTAGATTTACATTAAATAACTTGTGGCCGAGTTGACTTGTGGCCGAGTTGATTTGTGGCCGAGTTGACTTGTGGCCGAGCTGACTTGTGGCCGAGTTGGCTGAAGCCGAACTTTTTGCGGCCGAGTTGATTTGTGGCCGAGTTGACTTGTGGCCGAGTTGACTTGTGGCCGAGTTGACTGTGGCCGAGTTGACTTGTGGCCGAGTTGACCTGCACCGGGCCTATAATAGGGTTAGGCCTAGGTAGGTAGGCTAGTCTTAATTAAAAGGTTTGGACTAATAATAGGCCTAGGCCTAGTAGGTATGTGAAGAAAACATTCAAAGTGAACCAATACCAATTTAATTAGTACCACTGGAAAGAGCTTGAAAAATCCTACACAGTGACACCAAAATTATTTAGATATCTTAATTAATAAGGAAATTACAAGCATTTGAAATCGTGAATTAGCGTCATTTTTATTACATGTAATTGATTAGAATTTTGTGACCGAACATGCAACTTTTTTGAATAATAATAATCACGAAGCAGCTTGGATGTCACATGACCAAAATCACCTACCGTAGCAGAAGAGAACTGCCGTTAAAATCACCAAACATCAGTCAGAAAAAATAATTTTGTGCAGAAATAAGCATAATTCCTTCGTCTAAAGATGTTTATTTTTCATTATAATTTATATAGTGTTTTTTCCTTGTCTCGTGCAGTAATTGAGCCCTAAAATCATGCATGAACATACATCAGATTTCATGGTTTTCGGTTCGCGTTTACGCCAATAGCCTCTGGACACGACCTTGACCGGGTCAGTCAATTTTTTTTCTGAACCATAAAATATGATGAAACTTCGGGATTTTAAAGACAAAATAATAAACAATATGTAGACTTACCTTTTAATAACGTAGGATTTTACCTTAGAGTGATATTTGTTCCGTCAAAACATGCAAAATCTTGGAACTTTCTAGTGAAGATGATATCTTTGTCTGATTTGGAAAAAAAAAATGGCGTTGTCCGATCTGGAAAAAAAAAATGGCGGATGAAGAGTGGCTTTTCCACTACGTCATCATAGCAGCTATCCAAGGGATTTCCCTAACGACAGCCAATCAGAATGTAAATTCATGGGGATGCCCCCAGGGAGCATGACGCAAATGTGGAACAGTACTTTGGCAGAAAAAACAGACGCGATCGCGCGCGCATCTTCACATACCTAGTACTAGGCCTAGTAGTAGGGCCTATATGTGAAAAGGGGAGAAGGCTGGGGGAATTTGTTCAAACCATTTATTATATTAATGTAGGCCTAGGCCTCGTTAGTAGAGGGTGATACTTCCACTAGGAACCGCAAAGCGCTATCATTCACACATCCAGTTCTGCGCGTATTTCAATACATTTCGCATTGCAATGCCAAAAATGGAACTGTCAGGAAAAATTGCCAAAATCGGTCCGCCGGACCGATTTTGGCTTTAAAATTACCTGCCAAATATAGTCCACATAAGCCAAAATTGGTCCGGCATCTGTTTAATAGTTATAACTTGTATTTTTATAACGTTGTTCATATTTTTTTGTAATCAAATAATAGATAAATATCTTATCTTTTATTATAGCCTAATATGTTTTCATTCGTTATTGTGTGTGTGAAATCATAGGTGAAATCACTGGTGAAAATTAAGTATAGGTTCGCGCCCAGTAAACCCTTTCAAGTACGAAAAGAAGTTAAACCGTTTTGGTCCGCTGTAGTTCATTTTTTACCTCGTTTTGTTTTGGTTGTGTGTGCTCCGCGACGAAGTACATGCATTCAATTCTGAGAATGCTTACTCCTTTATTTCATGTATTAGAACATCTACTGTATGACCCAATACCCCACACAATAATACGGAATATTTTAAACTAATAAATCAGTCTTGTGTTTCATTTTAGGCCCAAACGTAGGCCTAACCACGGCCGCCGAAAATGATGCACGCTGTGTGTATCGCCTAGGCCTAGGAAATGCATTACCAGTATCTGGTGGTTTGATAAAACACTTCCTCAAAAGCTTAACGAATCATTCTGTCACTGCAAAAGACTTTGCAAGTGTGGGAGAAGCATACTTTCCTCCACTCCACGGGAGAAACAATCATACCCTACTAGCAGCAGACCAGTTACAAATGAAGTGGCCAGGCCGACGCGGACCAATTTTATCCAATTGGGACCGGTTTTAGCGGCTAATATCAATCAGGAGGACCGATTTTAGTAGTCCGCCGGACATTTTTTGGCCTGGACCAATTTTGCCGTGACAGAACTATTTAAATCACTAACTTGTCGAATCAAGGCTAGCCTAGGCTGCATTTCCTTCGTGAGCTTCCACCACTGGAGAGAATGTCATTCATAGTGAATCCGTTCAAGCATCACATACAAATCAAAAGCTCCATATTACCTGGTGATCAGACTCCTGGTAATCTACTGTATAGATATTAAATTTCTTTTGTTCTATCCACATAGATAAATGTAAGCTGAAATCATAAAAAATGAAAGGTGCAACAACAAATACTGATCACAAAACAGAAGCTTACACAACATGACAACACAAGCAGAAGTAGACGAGATCAAGGCCATCCTTACTCGAGGCTTGGAAAATCTAGCAATTCAAACTGGCCAAAAGCATCTTCCACTGAGAAAACAGACCAAGAAACCTATGCTAAATCATGATCAAATCTCAAGTGCTTCCAGGTTTAATACAGATGCCAGGCTTCCAATCTCAGGGAAATATACCAGAGATACATTTAAGCCTGCCCGACGACCATTGCCTAGGCCACAGGTTTATTATGATGCCAGTACAAGCTCTTCAATATGCATAGAGCCTAGAGCACCACCAAGAGTAGGACATGCCCGACCCCATAGTAGTAGAGGACCACACTATGGGCACTCATCGAAATTTGACACACGCGCTATGCGTGGAAGATCTCTACTAGAGCCACCAATAAAAGCTGCAGTAAAGAAAAACAAAGATTCTGCACAGTATTCAGTGACCTTAAATGGTAGCAAGTGCAAAAAGCCCAACAATTTAAAATCAACAAAAAGTGAAGCCATTGTTGCTGATGCTGGGGAAGAAGGAGAAGAATGGAGCGACATAGATGAAGATGATGATTTTGATCCAAGAGAAAGGTAATGAACATAGTAATAGAATGTTTGAACCACGACCTCTCTTCATCAAATAAAAAACTAGAGCAGTCACTCCATAGAGTGCATGCCTCTGCCCCATTCCTGAATACAGTACCAACAATATGCTGGCCGCGTGTGATGGGCGAGAATACAGGCTAACTCATGCCCAATTTTTTGGCTAACTCATGCATAATTTTTATTACACTAAAGCTAAAGTAAAGGTATGAATACACGTGGGAGTTTATCTAAATTTGGGTACACCAAAGTGGGTACGAGTTGGAATTGGTATGAGTTAGCCGACACCCGTGGGCGAAACTACAGCATACCCTTAATGAAAGAATGAAATCACTTATGGCATATTCAGGCCCATTATTTTCTTGAGTGCTGCAGCTTACCCTTAAGAAAATAAGAGTGCTGTTGATACACGGGATGATTCCATTATTTTCTTTTATTATCATGGGTAAAAAATTTAATTTCCGTGATCTTGGCCTTGTCCATTTACGTTTTCTTCCAAAAACTGAAAAGTGTTTTTCTTTGATTTTTATGTATAGTACATTCCACTAAATTTTATGATGATCCTTTCATTAGTTTTTGCGTAATCTTGACAGCTGTGAATACATAACCTCCTTTGCAGAGGTAATAACAGTAACTAACAATTTAATTTTCATTTAGATACTTTTATTTGCTCAATCAAATTCTAAAGTTTTTAATATGATTTTGACTTCAGTGAAAGGACTCCAGGGGATGGATCATCCTTTGATAACTACATTGAAGAGGAGGATGTCATGGATACACTTGAAGATGATGATGTTGCTGCCGATGGTAAGAGATCTTAAAATCATTAATTTTGTACCAATTCATTTTTGATCACCTTCAAATCCTAAAATTAATACAGTAATAATAATTGTCAGTCTAATATAATGAGGCTTGTCACATCCAAAACCACAAAAAATAAAAATTTGATTTTAAAAAATATTCTTATTCACCACATTGTATAAAACTTTCAAATGATGGGTCATTTACTTACTACAGCTTCTCTGTACTATAGTTTAGTTTTAGTTTTTATTTGGAATCACTTTTATTACAGTGACACACATTCAAAATGATAGTGCATCCAAAAGAGAAAAATCAACAGTAAATAAACAATAAATAATACCAACGTAACATCAGTCTGTGTCTTGGAGTGTATTAACCAGCATGAAATCACTTAAACTACTATATAAACTAAGTGTATTTTAAATTTTTTTTGTTTCTTTGAAATTCATATTGAGCAAAAAGCGCTAGTTAATGATAAAATAAAATTTTCAAAAATAAATAAATAGTAGAATTCTATAAAATATACAATTTAAAAAACATTTACATACATGAATTTAACAATCATAGATGCATCAGATGGGTATTCTATAGCAAGTGTTTCGTCCAGAACACATTCTGCAAAAGAACGAGAAAGTGATGACACAGTAAAGGAAGAATTAGCAGCCATTGCTAGCAGGTATTGTACAGTATAGGATGCTCTTGGTGTGAGTGCCTACTGTTCGAACTTACAACTACGGATACACAATTTGTCTGTATTATTTGATCTCACTATTTTATTATATTCAATTGATAATTCAAATGTATAATTTGACATCTGAATCATCCTATTTATGATTTAAATTGTAATTGTAATTATTATTATATTATTTCTTTTTTTTATTATACTAGTACAGTACTACACAAAAGCATCTGGAACCCTAATTTTGTGTGAACTGAGATATTACAATGAATTTGCATTTGAGGAATATTATAAAGTTCCAAAGAGTAGGCTTGGGGTTGGACTTATACAGCAGAAACACTGAGGTGTAGCATATTAAAGATACTGGTGGTGTGCAATGGGCTGCTGTGCAAGTTAAATTTCTCTATAAGGTGTGAGCTGGCCTGACAAAATGAGTCTTGTGGTACGAAAAAGGAAAAATGAGTTTTTGATGTAATTTAGATAGGTGAATATATATTGTAAGCTTTATTTTGGTGTTGAAATCATGTACCTAGGTTGAGTAAAACCAGAGTAAGATCATTTTAAGCATTAGATGTCAAAAAACATACTTAAGAGAAAATTGCCTCTAAAGATAAACAACTGATAAATTTTGTGTTAGTTTTCCTATTTATTTTGAAAAATAGCTTTACAAAATGTGCCTCAAAAACATGATTATATTAGGTAACTCAACTCGGAACTTTTGCTACTATGAAATATTCATATTAAACTTACCAGAAAAATTCAAACCCAATTTTTGTCAAAATATCGCTTCAGATATATTTTCTTGAATATATTAAAGTGACCTGGCATACCACAAGACTCATTTTTTTATGACAGCTCACATATAGCATAGTAATGATTTAAAGTTCAACTTCTATCTTTTGAAGAATAAGAAGCAAAAGTATTTGATTTATGTATACTGTATTAGACTTTAATTTTGTTCTGTGTTTAAATAGGATTGACCGTGCTAGCCTAGGCAGCAGGGCTGATACCAGAGTGTACAAGTTGCTAACTACAGGCTCTGAGGAAGCTCAGCCAGGGCTTACGCCAAGTTTGTTCAGCAATGTCCCACCGACAATCAACTTCGTTACAGAGGATGAAAAATGTAGGCTCAATGTTTTATTAAGTTCAGTTTGTTTCATAACTGTATGCAGACTGCCAGAGATAAATTATTTGGTTGTAATATTATACAGCTATTTGAGTTTACCGTATATACTCGCACATAAGATAAGGCTTAAAATAGCAAATTACGATCGGAAAATAGGGGGTCGTCTTAATACGTGCGACGTACAAATATTAGATTTTTAAAATCATGTTCGTCTTATATGCGGATCGTCCATAACATGGGGAATTTTCTTCTGCAATGAACCTACTGAATGTTAGTATGAATGAACGCAATTTTGAATACTGGGAAATAAGATTTTGATTAACATTTAAAAGCACATAAAGTGATATTATTTTGAAGAATAGCCCTCAATTTGGCTCCGTTTTTAGCCAGCAAGATGCAGTATCAAGACCATAAAGAGCAGTAAAGCGTATGAATTCCGACGGTGAAATGGAGGTTGTCTTTTGTACGCCCGACATACAAAAATCGTCCAAAATCCGTCTCAAACTTGTCTTATATGCGGGTCACCTTATATATACGGTAACCATTTAGCATTACCAAACTTCAAAATTGTCATGACATTATGCATGAAAATTTAAAAACAATTTGAGAACAGCAGATATGGCAAACTATTAAGCCTCAAACTAAGTCATGATTTTTGGAGAAAAATATATATATTTTTTTTTTGCTGAGTTACTCCCACCACTTGCAAAAATTAAAATTCTATGATTAGAATATTTGTAATTATGTGGTCATAATTTTATGTTTCAGTGACTCCATTACCATGGGAACTTCGCAAGTTACTAAAATGGCGAATGAGTCCGATTACTCCACAGATTGTAAAAGGCTGTATAGCAAGGTCTGGGTTTAGAGCAACTAAAAGTAAGCAGAAAGTCTTATGGCTAAAAGTTGAATGCATCAATGCTGTATAATAAGTCAGCTTCATCCTTCCGAGATTAGAACAGATTAATGCTTTGTAGAGGTTGGATTATTGCCCCATTCAAATATGATAGTACATGCTTAATTGGTCTGAATGAACACAGCAAATTCTTTGCGTTGGTTTATCTGTCTATATAGCATTACCGGACCTTGGACATAAAACATAACTAAATATTGACACAGAAAATCTATGTCTGCAATTAGTACAGTACCACTGTTATTGCAATGTTTAATGTTTTATAAATGGTAGGCTTGAAGATAAACCTACAGTAAATTAACCTAAAGTGCTAGGTAACCTGTCTGAAAATAATTACTATTCTCTAAATCAATGCTACTACACCTATGCCAGTCACCACTGTTGATTTTCACCACTTTGAATTAGGTGTATACCTCAACCACTGTACTAGATCTCGTGCCACGTGCCAAACATAATTTGCTGTACAAAGCCAATGCAGACTTTCAAAATAGGGTGAACGAGATAATTGTAGGAATCTTTTGATTTACGCGACTACGCAACCCTAGAATGGATTCACTCTTGCGTGACCATCTTACGTTCTCTGCACAACATCCATGTGATGAGAACTTAACATTATCTCATACACAGATGAATTATTAGTAATGTCATTATGTTCTGTTCTATGTCCTACCGCGTCATGCAATCGAAAGCAGCTCCCTAGTGAAATTGCCAAGCCTTGCATCAGGCTGGATGTGGTTGAGTTTGATGTATAATATATATTGTGACCCAAGTTTTATTCATTGTTAACTACAGTATATCTCATTTCAGTATGTGCATAGAAAGATGTTTGACTTTTTAAAAATTTGTTTACAGAGAGCAATGAATGGATTGGGTATTGGGGTAAACACATGAAAGCCTCAGGATTCAAAGGACTGAGAGATTACCAAAAGGTAATGTTAAAGCAGCAGTGTCTCATATCCTCTTTTTATTATGGTCAGCTCATATTTAAACAGTTTAGTTTTCTATGCATTTTTAACACGTTCACTGCCATGCATTTCTTAACCATTTGCCATGACAGTTTTAAAGGGCAGTTGCACATAATAAAACAACAAGCATTTCAAGTGTTGATGTTATTCTAATGCCAATTCATAGTTTGAACCACTGCGCATGCCCATATCAAGGTCAGTCAACATAAACTAACATACACGCAGCATAGGTTTATGTCCATTGACCTTGGATACGGGCATGGGTCATTTACTGGAATCAACTTAATATTGCCAAAGTTATGAGTAAAAGTATTCTCTGTACTAAAGTATACATTACTGCCACATTCCTACGCTAATAGTCAGTTTATCAAGATTTGGTGGAACAAACTCTTTATACCTGCAAATAGAAAAATAGGTCACTTTGTGATAGATGTGTAAATCATGTCGACATTCAGTAGTGAAAATAATATGAAATTGAATTCTGTCTGTCTATGTAGTACTGTACTGTATGTCCTGAAATGATGTTCATGCCTGCTTTATTAAAAATGATACTGTTTACATACAGATGAATCACATCCCTGGATCGTTTCAAATTGGTCGGAAGGATCGTCTATGGCGGAATCTCTCACGAATGCAAGTTCATTTTGGCAAGAAGGACTTCAACTTCTTTCCGCAAACCTATGTACTGCCCTCAGACATGAAGCTTCTGAAGAGAGCTTGGGAGGATGGAGGAACGAAGCAAAAATGGATCATGAAACCGGTTAGTGCCTATCTAAATAGAATTCCCTAATCCTTGATAGAGGTAAAGCTACAGTATACAATGTGCAACCGTCTTTCTTTTCTAAAAAAAAAACTTTTTTAGTAAAACAAAAAAAAAAAAAAAAAAAAAAAAAACAACCATAGTCATACATGCATTGCAAAGCCACTCATGGAACTGTAGTCTTAACTGTTCACTAGACTGACGAGGCGAGTCGTTTAACGGAGCGGTTAAGGCAGGGGCACCGCAACCTACAACCATAATATTGGCGCTGGTTTGAACACGCGCTCGTCTATGGTTCTGGAGGTGGAACAAGTCTTCTCAGATAAGGACTATAAACCGTAGGCCCAGTGTACACAAATGCTTATGTGCACAGTAAAGAACCCAGTACATCTTTCGAGATGGTTAGGGGGTACCCCAGTCCACAGCCCCTGTTGTCTTGTGATGGGATTGCCACTTTGAATAGTGATTTCATTCACTATGTGGCATATCATTAGCCCTAGTGCCTAAAGCTGAATAATATTAACACAGTGCCATCCAAATATGACCTATTGTCACATGTGTTATTTTTACAGAAAATATTTGTTGAAAATTTGAGTGTCCATATTATGCGCGTGGTCCATTACATCATTGTTTTGCATCTACTGCCTGTTAAAAGTTGGAACTCACGGTACAGATGCAGTCCACGTTGGATAACGAGTGCATAAAAAAATCTGTTTATTACTATTTATTAAAGTATTACCATAATCAGTGGCATGCCCGTTCTTAATAGAACAGCATATCCTCTCTTTTATTAGATGAACAATGAGCGAGTTGATTTTGAGATATAAAGTTATTTTGCATCCATAAAAATCCCTAGGCAGTTCGTTGAAGACATGAATTACTCAATGTCGTAACGATTGGTTGAATGTGGGTGGTCCTATTTTTAACTAATTAACCGTATTTTGTTTTGCCGATAGCAACAGAGTAATATCACGTGGTATCGTGATGTAACATAACACTGCAGTACACTATTAGCTCACCAGATACAAATTATTGTGCAATATAGAAAGTAGGCATGGACTATTTTTGTAGTGTACTGTAATTATATTGTATTAATATTAGATTTTTTTTTCATAAATGTATTTGTATGCCACTGTCCAAAATACATATAGCAAATAAAATGTTCTTTGTTTTTTAATGACAGCCTGCATCAGCACGTGGCATCGGCATTAAGGTGATTCACAAATGGAGTCAAATCCCTAAGAGGCGCCCTGTTATTGTCCAGCGCTATTTAGCCAAACCCTTCCTCATCAACGGCAGTAAGTTTGACCTTCGAGTGTATGTCTACGTCACCTCCTTCGATCCATTGAGAATTTATGTGTTTGAAGATGGACTGACGCGATTTGCTACAATGAAGTAAGTAACTATTATTGGTTGTTGAACAACTCGAAAGCTCACTATTATTATTGTAAACTCTGTCCAGATTATTAAATTCTCTTCAACAAAAAATGTATGCCCATATATAGGCATGAAGTGCCTATATATGGTCATGATGTGATGTCATCATGACCATATTTAGGCATGTCACATGTTTTTGATCAAATGGATTTCACAGCCTGGACAGAGGGCTTTATATATGTACTTATTAAACTTACAAACAAATGTGTAAACTTTATGTCTTGATTAAAGTATTGTTATTCATTTGCAGATATTCGTCTTCCATGAAAAGCCTGTCAAACAAGTTTATGCATTTAACAAATTACAGCATTAACAAGAACAATTCTGATTTCACCCCGAATGAGGACCACACAGCTTGTGAGGGGCACAAGTGGTAACTACATTTTATATTTATTTTATTATATTCTGAGAAAAAAAAACATGTTATATGATGGTTTTTGTGTATTTTGTGACCAAGTCGTTGTGTGGACAAGTAATGTTGGCTTTCGTCAACGATAAGATACAAGATTGATAAGAGAAGTTAAATGGTATACTGTATGTGAAGACAAATATATGGAAATTTTCAACTTTGATGGACATGTTGACTTCCAGTTTTTAAAATGCTGTACCAATGCAAAATACTTTATTGTCACTAGTTTTTGTGAACTTAGTTTGGCAGGGATTCTGCCTGTTTAAATTAAGTTGCATTGTAGGGGAATTTGTCTCAAAGATATTTCTGCTGACATAAACCTGACTAATGAACTAAGAGGATACTAATTTGATTATTTGATTAAAAATGATGACAATTTACCATGAGTAACATCTGTTGGTTTTTGCTAGGACATTAAAGGCATTGTGGGGCTACATGAAGCGAATGGGGATTGACACAAAAGCTATTTGGGATAACATCAAAGACCTGGTGGTCAAAACAATTATAAGGTATGTCTGTCACACGAATACGAATGAACTTTATTATCTTTCATTATTACAAAATTGATATTATAGTTACTGTTTGGTTTTTATATACAGTATGTTATGTTATTAGTAAATAGTCTGATGCTATCATTCCTTGCCTGCTTTAATATATTATATTGAACTCAATATACAATAGCAAGACAGAATTGATTAATAGGAAGAACTTAATGTAGATAAAACAAATAATGCAAACAAAAGACAACCAACCAAACTACATGAAAATACTAGAGCATTCACCCCATAGATTGCATACCTCTGCTCTGTGCCTGAATACAGTACCAACAATACTCAAGTTATGTACGATGGGCGAAACTGCAGCATAACCGTGTCATATTCAGGAACATTATTTTCTTTGAGTGTTGCTGCCTACCCTCAAGAAAATAATGGAATCACCCACTGTATTCAGGCACATTGTTTTCTTGAATGCTGCCTGAAGATGTGGGCCAATTTCATTATTTTCTTAAGCTCAAGTGTACAAAATTGAATTTTTCATGACCTTGTCTTTTGAGATTTTCTTCCAAAAATTGCAAGGTGTCTGTCTTCGATTATTATGTACCATTCCACTAAATCTTATGATGATCCATTTATTTGTTTTTGCATAATCTTGCTAACAGACAGAAAAACAGACAGACAGCAGTGTATAAATAACCTAAAGATGCAAGCCCTACCTCATATTCTACATTAACATTTTGACTACTGTATTCATAAAATCACTAATGTATTTATTTATCTTGCATACCAATTGTTATTACTCAGTGGGGAAAGTAGCATTACTAGTATGACAAAAGCAAATGTCAGGCATCGCTACTCAGTCCATGAGCTCTTTGGCTTTGATATTCTACTGGACGAGAACCTGAAACCATGGATACTGGAGGTCAACATATCACCAAGGTAACCAATAACAAAATGAATCAAATATCAATATATAATATAATATGTTTGATGTGATTTACTTTCTTCTACACTATAATTATAAGGTTAACATATATTAGCCAAAGATTGTCAAAATTTCACCATATTTCTGTTGAAGAATATTCAAAAGAGGCATATAATAGGGAGCTAAGGATTTAAAAAAATTATTTTCAATGCTTCATAATGCAAAAAGAAGACTTTGGGTAGTTTTGAAAGTGTTTTTTTAATTGTAATACTATCAGCTGACATAAAAAGAAGAATGATTCAATGGCTGATCAAGGTTTGTAATGAGCGTCTTTACAAGTGGCGTACAATGTTGCCATGTACAATGTAGCCACGTACCATGTAGCCACGTACCATGTAGCTGCGCACAATTTAGCCATCTACGATGTGGCCACATACCATGTAGCCAGCTACATGTATCCACCTACCATGTGGCCTCGTAGCCACATACCATGTAGCCACGTAGCATGTAGCCATTTACCCATATACCATGTAGTCACGTACCATGTAGCCACGTAAATACTCACAATGTACTGGACATACTAGAAACATAGATGCTGCAAACAGAAATCTACAATCCTTGTTTTTTTCTTTCATTAGCCTACATTCAAACTCACCTCTGGATATAAGTGTAAAAGGTAGCATGATAAAAGACCTCCTCAACTTGGCAGGATTCCAAATCCCAGAAAAACGAGAAGTCTATCCAAATCTGATAAACAATGGTAACAACAGGTAAGTAAGTTTGAAATTCACTATTAAGCATGAACAGTTGATTAAGTCAAACAAGATAGGGTGTGTATAATATCTATAATTTGATATTCACACTAAAAAGTTTGTCCATACTGGGAAACCATTAAGTTTTATTGTGATTCAAGAACAAGAATATCTTTGGGCTTCAGGGGAAAATATCTTTTGTGGTGGGTATGCTTATTGCAGTGTAATAAATAATCATTGTATAATTTCTTTTGTAGTGACCAATACAAAAATGTGATTATGGACAAGCGTTGCTGGAATACACATGTTGAAAAGCATGAAAGAGCGAAGCATGCATTCTACACGCAAAAGTATATTGATGATGTGAGTGAAAAGAATTTACCATTTGAACTAACATCTTCATTTTATAACAAAGACTAACAAACAAAATATAGGTAATGTGCCTTGCTGAAGGACACAAGCAAAAAGCACTGCTTCATGTTCATCAGAGAATACAGTATATGTAGTTCTCATTTTAAAGTAATATTGTATATTATTGCTATAAATTATTTATTATTGGTGTAATTAATATTCGTTGCAGCAATGTAGAGCATCTGTGGTAGACCTACTGACACCAGATGATCTGTGTATCCTGATTGAGACGGAGGATGAGTTTAGCCGTCGCGGTGGCTTCCAGCGTGTCTTTCCTTCTCCAGTCTCATCCAAGTTCTCGCGATTCTTTGAAACACCTCGTTACTACAATGTCCTACTTGAAGAATGGGTCAATAGGTACCACCGAACTCCAGCAAGAGGTTTGTTACTATGAAAAATTTGAACTTTTGTTTGTGAAAAAAGCCATTGAATGTTGAGCATGCAAAGCAAGTCACATGGTTTAAAAAGACGGATTGAGGCTTGTGGGCTGATGTAGTGTTTTTTAAACCAGTGCACAATTAGCACCTAATTATGATCTATAGTACAGTACTGTACACATTTCCAATATTCAAGCATTTTACACAATATGAACATTATGTTAATTTCATAAATAAATTTATTTGATTATGACTTAACCTTTGACATAGGCATGCACGGATGAAACTACTAGATGGCTAATTGTATCTGCTATGGCATTAAAAGCATTGTTCCTCTGATTTAGTTTTAATTTTTTTTAAAGTTATTGGTGTGTTTTTTCTGTTTAAAAGATATTGAATTTGGTATGATGTAATGTTTTCAATTAATTTTTGTGGCAGGGCTTGCTTTGCTTGAAGGCTATTGTGGTGAGAAAATTCACCTTAGATGTAACACTGACAATGCCCATATAGTAAGTGTCCTCACTTCGTGTTCACAAATTTGCTTCTGCAAATTCTCAGATTTCCTTATCCTTAAACATTACACTAGTTTTCGGCCTATAATGTATGTAATGCATTTGCACATGCACTACCAGCTGCACATTTATAATACTGTTACCTTTAAGATTTAAAGAGCTTAAAATAGCCAAGCTCTTTTTTAGACAAAAAAAAAGGTTTTGATTGGGGTGGTATGAAAAATCATTTTTTCTTTTTGCTTTACCTTTTCGAAAAGTATGAACATAATACTGTATTACAAATTATCAAGTAATTTCCTATTATTCCATGCTGAAGTTTGTAAAAACAGTTTTGTTCCTAGTTTCTTCAAACTTTCCTATTCTCTTTTTGGAAGTTTTTAAAGCACTAAGGTATTTTGTTGTGAAAGTGATTTAATAATTATTTGTAGGCCGGCTACACAGACTTGTTTAATTGTGATCATTGTTGCTTCAGTAAAATATTCCTGCAAAGCTCTGAACCGAACACCATAATAAATTACATTCACGTAATACATATTTCCTTGTGCATTTCTATCTGTACAGTGGACACCTATCTCAACAGTACTGGTAGTGAAAGAGCAAAGAACTCTTAGTGCTCCATCGAAAGTGCTGCAGTCACCCACATCTAACCTCAAGAAAAGGTAGGCATCATTCTCAAACTGCTGCTGAAAAAATTCTTAATATTAGCAGTGGTGGCTCAAGAAATTGTCGGACAAGGGTTCCGGAATGTCCGACAATGAGGTCCGAACCAAGACTAGCGCCTCGATCAGGGCCTAGATCATGGTCCTAGAAGAAAAATTCCTGGTATGGTTCAGCTAGGATTTTTAATGGCTTAATATGGCCCAAAATTGTGCTTTTATAACCACAATATTTGAGATAGTCAAATTACTATTTTTGGTCCAACGACCTCATCGTGGCGTCAGACAGTTTTAGTTTCTTTTATTAACTAAAATCTGGCACAACACATGTACAAGAAGTAAAAGTAACCTTAAAATACAGGCAACAGGGGGTCCAGGCCAGTCCGACGGGGGAATCCCCCTCGCTGACACCACCATTGAATATTGGGGGTATCCTAACAGTGAGGCCTTTTGAAGACAAACAATAATCGTTATAATCATTATAGAACTGCATCAGTCCATTTAATGCGTGTAAAGACTAGTAACAGTATTTAATATTTATGTGCCAGTTCATTGGAAAAATTATTTTCAGTTGAAAGTTTTCTTAGCTTAAAATTTATGAGCTACTAATCACAGATCTTGAAATAAAAAGAAAACATTTTGCAATATTTTACAGCTCGTCTGCTCACTCTCTGCCAAAGATCAAGGGAAAGAAGGGAAAGCACAGAGTGATATCATCCTCCAGTAGTTCTGCGTCATTGAACTCTCTAACAAGTCGTCCACCTCACCCACCGTTCTCGTACTACACGGACAATGACTCGCCCAGTTGATGGGTCCATTTACCATGTTTTTCGGTCCATTTGTGATAGATACCTCGTTCAAAAATCAATTTTGTACTCTTGGGACCCAAAACGGAAACAGCCATAATACAAAGCACCAACTACTAAATAACAATGTTGGTCTTGCCAAAGAAGACCTGTCTTACCATCAAACAGTTACTGCTAATAAGTGTGTAGCAAGTTTATGGAGGATAAAGTTGGTTGTAAAGAAGGGCCTGTAATGCATACAAAAACAAAAAGGTGAACAGAAAGGACAAAGATATGCCATTTTTGTGTGTACTCAAGCATAATATTCCCTTTGAAACACAGATGTAATTATCATCCAAGTTCATTCACAGAACTGAACAAGCTTTGGTATTCTCTAGCATCAGAAAGAGACGGAAAATGGTACTTTAATCTTTTACTCCTGCTTCCATCACCTTAATGCTCATATCAACAGAACGCCATTTTACTTAGAGAATTGACTAATGAGTATCTCATTTGCATTTTGATACCAAGAATTATACTCTGATAGTAATAGGCCTAACCAAGCTACTGGACCATTAGTGTATCATCACTTTTTTAGATAAAAATAAATACAGGGTAACTAAGCCTGTAAATATTTACATAGGATTATTTGTTTTCTTTTGTTCTTTAATATGTAGTTTTCTATGTATTGTACTACTACCATGTTTATATTTTAACAGTATAGGTTAAATTAAAGACCAGTTTTGAATAGTCTTTAGCAGCTGCAACCTTTTTGGAAAAAAAACCAAAAAAAACAGTTGTTTGTCTGGAATTGCAGAGTATTGGTGTTTAATTGAAGGGGTCATTAATTAGCAAGAGCCTAGTAGTCTGCAAGTGTTTTTAACATACGATAGAAGCAGTAAGTGTAGGATATGTTAGCCAAATATTTTTACCAAAGAAGTTAAAGAACAAATTTGCTTTAGCTTAGAAGCTGCAGTGTGGGAACATAATTACTTACTATACAAAAACCGTGTATGTATTGCAATGAACTACTGGTATTGATGGCAGGGAGGATTCTACTAGAGTGTAACAGTGCAATCATTCTGGTTCTAGTGTAAATAATTTGTATTGTCCATAACAGAATATTTGTGATGACTAATGCAAAGATGATACAGTAGTGACTTTTTAAGTAAAATAAAACGTTATTTATATCGTTATATACAAATTGGATTGTTATTCATAATCCAGTTGTGAAACCAATATTTTAAATGTATGCAGGTTTTCGCATGGGGGAGGGGAAGGGGTTTAAATCAATGAAATAGAATCCTATGTTAGTCTTCCAATTAATATTGCCGGGCACTCACTGCAGCCGACACGATTCTATGAAGAACGCAAAGCCACAACGCGCGCGCAACGGAATGTTTTTAATGACGATTCGTTCAGAGTGCCACTGACAATAAGCAGTGTTGCGTCACTTATCGCTCACAGGAAACGGAGTTAAGATCGTCGGCTCGCGATTGTACGATGCAGCGACTGCCCGGCTTCACATGTTGCAGTAAACTATAATAATATGCATTTTCGTAAACATGCGATTATTCATTAATCCAATGTTAATCCACTTCAATGAAACAACACCAAAGACTAAGGCAACCAAATTTATATAAATGTGGGTGGTGGTTTGGTAGTTTTTAGAGAACTCAATTGTAATAAGATTCAGTGATAAATTGTTTTCATGTTCTTGGCGATGGTATATGGAACACCAGTAACATGCAAGTCCTACAAAACAACAGAAACATTAATTCTGTTGATGTTGACATAAATATATTTATTTTGTCTATGTAAAGACCTGTCCAGACTATCAAATTTTATTTGACAAAAACATGTGACATGCCTAAATATGGTCATGATGACATCACATATATGGGCACATCATGACTATATATGGGCATACAACAGATTTTTGTCAAATAAAATGATAGTCTGAAAAGAGCTTATACAGTAATGCTTGAGACATTAGGCTTTTTGTTAACAAAAAAATATTTTCAAAAATACTGATATTTTATCTGACTGATGACTGGTAGTCAGGAGTTAACAGACCTTTCCCCTAGGCCTGCCTTTTGGATGTTGCTGCTGAGGTGTGGGAACTCATGTGAGAATTCTGATTGGTCAGTAGGTTACTTTGACGCTCTGTAAAAGTCCATTGTGTTTGTTAGTAGACTATTGTTCACTTGTTATTGCTTTTTTTTTTTTTTTTTTATGAAATCTGGGAAGACAGTTGGAAGGAATTTGGTGCATTTTTTGCAATTCCATCTACCAAAGAATGATGTAATATACTATGTTTATACATCAAACTAGTATACAATATATAAAAAATAAATATCTATAGCTATATATTTTATAAAAAATACATTAAATGTGTTATACAATATGTATAATATTCAACGTATAGATCTTCCATGTATTCATAATAAAAATATGACTAATATTTTCTTAAAATTCTAAATGTGGTACAAAAATAAAGTGAAAACTTTCTCATATGATGGTGATGGTGTTGCTTTTTTTACTGTTAACATTCTTTTTCTCTAAACAGTCAGAAGTATGCTTTCTTTAGTAAATTCATCCAGATGAAGTGATAAATGTTTGGTTAAATTTAAGTTATTGTGGAGGAGCAAGATACTATAGTTGTTTGTCACTGAGAGGTTTGCAATAAGTATAGTGAAAAACAAATCCTTATAGTCTTTAAGCAAGAATTTTTTTATACCTTGTTTCGCGAACTTATTTTTCTAAAGATCGAGAGGAGGGTGGAAAAAAAAAATTTGGTTTTTCAGTTAGCAGAGTTTTGCCAAAAACATCCAAATGGAAGAAAATAAAAATTAAATTTTATTGGTGAATGTAAACAGTGTTTGGTAATGGGATGGTTAAATGTTTTAGATTTATATAATTTAGAAAAAATATGCCTATCTTATTTTCAAGGCAGCAATAGGCGTAATAAAAATGCAATTTCTATTTTATATTGGTGGCGGGTACGCTAACTGGATAAAAATAATATTTTATTTTTATTTGAAATCATTATTAGCGGGTGGTGGGGTTTGCTAAACAAAGTATAAAAAAGTCGCGCCGTAATTCCAGTAACACCATCCCATATTGCAACTCCTTGATTATAGACGTTACAAAGCTGGGCACACTCAACATCGTACAACCGACGAAACCTCTTTGCTCTCGGTGAGCACTTGGCAATGTGATGCTGTCTGCCGTTGTGCACATCCTGTAATGTTTTCCATGGAATTATGTTGAATACATTCTACATAATCTTTGTTGAATATATTATATAAAGTTCATAACTTTATCACCTAAATTATGCAAGCTATAAAAAAGAATTATATAGTTTCCAGAAAAAAAATATTGCTAGAACAATGAATAACAAGAGGTATGTTGACATATAATTTTATTCAGATTATATATTAAAAAGTCTGTCATATATACCAATTTTATTAATATTTTATAAGCTTAATTCATTAAATGAATGTTGCTGATAAACATCATTCATAACGTTAAATGTCATATTTTATGGAATACACTACAGTTTGTGAACACATTCATATTCTGAAATACTACTGAAGTATATTCATAGTACTGTATTAAATTTCAGTGCTCCATACTGGAAGACAAATTAATGTGTTTTGGCCTTCATGATAATTTACAGTACAGTTATATATAATATCAGATTTACTATGCAATCATTAATTGAATATTACCAAAGAGTGGTGATAAAAAAAGGTGTATTGCTCACACAGAAAGTGTGTGTTGATTTGTTTTCCAATGACTCAGATTCTTAGAAGCAATTTTATTGTATTATGCACTATGTAGGACCTGTCTCTTATACACATCTAGATGTGTATAAGAGACAGGTCCGAATCATGACCGATGGGGCATTTGAGATTAAACAACTTAGACCTGAACAGGCACCGGTCATTTTTCTGGACCAGTAGGTATAGAAAAAATCCACCAATTAGCCAAAAAGAAAAAAAAAAAAATCTTTGGTCATGTTTTTGGAAAATCTAAAAAAAGGGGTAGGTCGGTACGAAGAGGTATGAAGGTGTCTCAAACCAGGCCCCGTTGACAAAGAAATGACTGGAAAATATAAGCAATGTAGATATGAAAATAATATCCAAGTACAATGAAACTAAATACTAAAAAAAAAATGAATACATAATAGTAAATAATAATAATAAATACTTTCTTTCCAGTTTATCTTCCTATCAATATCTAAAGCTCTGTTTCATTTGAGCCACAGAGAAAGTTTCGAGGCTCCAGCATACTGCACTAAACATTGATGAACAAATTATTATTATAATTTCTGCTGCTCATCCTTAAAAAAAGTGATCTGCCGCATCAATACAAATTAAACAACATATAACATCCCATTTTTTTCAAAAGAACATTTATCTACTTCCTTGTAATGTAAAGTAAGATATAGAGTAGGGTATAAAATATTAAAGAATATAAAACAACAATTATTATTCATTGTAATAATTATACATAAGCGATAATAACATTTAATTACTTTATATAAAAGTGATGGGAAGAAGGCAAATGCCCTGAGAAGATTGCAATAAACTTGTGTTAGGCCAGCCTGGAAACAAAAACATGGGAAACAATACGTTTGGAAAAAAATACAGTCATACAAACATGATGTGACGAAGACAAAAACGACATAACCCATAGCTAAGAGTAAGAGCTGTACATCACAGCTAAGTTTAGCAACACCAACCTTTCAATTCTTGCAATTTGCAAGATCCAAGTGTTATTCTCCAGTATTTTTAGGCTTTGTTTATCAGGTAGCAATTTAGAAGTAGAACACTCCCAGCAGGCAAATTCCTTAGCACACCGAACCTTCTCATTCTCGTCATCTCCGGTTAACCTCTTGTAATATGCAGCAAGGATGTCACCACGTTCAGCCTGTAAGAAATTTAAAACAAGAAATATTTCCTATAAAAAAACGCCGCAACTTCTGTAGCTTTTTCAATTTGTGCATAAAGCTACTTCCAAATTTAGCCTATGTGTAAATTTTGTTATTGTATTTAAGTTAGCTGTTTCAATAAATAAATCTGTAACTGTATTTTCCTATAGATCAATATTATAAATATAGCCCTATGCTTATTTATTGTTAAAGATAGGCCTAATTTTTTACTGCAATATGCATAATACTGTATATGAATTAAAGATTATTTTTAAAATAAAATTGATGTTAAAATAATAAAATGATCCAAACAAATATGGAATTATCAAAGGGTGGGTTATCTAAGATTTTTCCTGCGGCTGGGCCCCACTTTGTCTCGGTTGTAATCCCATATGGTAGATTATTAACAATAAGAATTACACTAAAAACAAGTCATCTTATTAACCCTGGCACTATGATGCTACCTTCCATTTTGTGATCACATAATGCACAATTAGTCAACACACTAATATGCAATTACAGAGTCAGGTTTTGAGTACAATGTATGAAATAGGAGCCAAAGGAATTGTTACCTAATGAAAAAATTTGCTTCTTTTGAAGGAAATAATGGTTCCTAAGGCTTATATTTCCTATAGTTACTTTATAAGTCAGTTGTGACGTCCATCACCTTTTTGTTGTAGCCCATTAATCAAACTGCTGGTTGTAGAGCGGTTGCTATATATTCATAAATCAAACTGCTGGTTGCGGTTACTGGTTGCTCAGTGATCAATACTTTAACTCTGCATGTGCATTAGCTAATATTATTGTAGGATAGGCTAGCTGGATGTCATTCTCACTCCAGCTCCAGTACTGTTCCAGCGAGCCTTTAACATTAGGCTTCAAAGTGCTGAAGAGCGGAGCAGTGGAAATGATTCTACTGCTTTCGTGCCAATTTCTTTGTTTGATTTCCATGTAGCATTAGGATATTCCATTTTTGCTTTTCTCTTTCTTCATGTAAAGTGCATAGAAGCAATTTTATTGTATTATGCACTATGTAGGACTTGCATTATTATTATTACGCATATAAGAATGATTTGATAGTTAGCTCTTCACAGTACGATACAAAGATGAATAAACTGATTGTTGTGGTTGAAGTTTATTAGGTAGACCTAAGCTCCTGGTAGACAATTGTTTAATAGATGTATTGTAAACATCATTATGAATTATTTCAGAGTTGCCTTAGCTTTCAGTTCTTTTATAAATCAATCCTTGTTATCTCCTAACCATTATGCCTTTCTAGGCCTTGCCTAGGACGGTCTAGGCTTCATTGAGTGTTAACCAGTGGCGTAGAGCAAGATTTGTTGGGTTCGCAGTGTGCGTTTATAGAGTGGCCTAGCAACGAAATATCCATTGCAATATAAAATCACCCCAGCTCTCACTGAGCTTTTCGCACACAAGACAAAAATAATCGGAGGCACTATATAAAATTAGTGATCAGTCAAGGATAGGAAAATTCAGTACATTTTAAAGTGATGATGTCACCACTAACAATTATTTATAAAAAAAATCTCTTTTTTGTTTAGCCCTGTCCAGACTATCAAATCATCTATAGTCATGCATTCCCACAATCAACAACACCGGGTATATTGGGACAAAGCCAAACTAATAGCCACTGTACCATCTTGGCACTCCAGAAGGACCAGAGGAAGCCATAGAAATTCACAAACACGATACAGAACATCAAGATAACGGATTTGTCATTAGATATATTTGGCTGTCCATGTTTAATCAGACCTAGCCAAGCAGCCCCAACCCCACCCCCCTTTTTCCAGTCACACTTGAACTATGCCTTTGTTTTTTGGTCGTTCCCACCCCCTTTACCGCCACACTGGAACTATGCCTTTGTTTTGGTCGTTACCACCCTTTTCCTGCCAACTGGAACTATATCTTTGTTTGGGCGTTCCCACGCTTTCTCTCAGTGAACAATGGCTTTTGTTTTAGCCTTTCACTAGCAGTCTTCTTATTGGTCAGTTTATTCATCCAACCAACAGCAAGTTTCTCTACACAAACATATAAGTATTTCCCTGTTTGGAATTTCTGCAGATATTATTCTCCTGAAGACGATTGAAGTAACTTAATCGAAACGCCATGACTTTCTCAATTACAACAGTTCTTTTCAGAACTACCTACGGTACGTGGTGTACAGCAAACGTCAACATATATGATATTACTTCGCCATGGAAACCTTAAAACAATACTATCAAAGTTTGTTCGACAAAAACATGTCATGCCTAAATATGGTCATGATGACATCACAGCATGACCATATATCGGCACATCATGCTATATATGGGCAAACAACATATTTTTGTCAATTTGATAGCCTTTACAATCAAACATTTAACATGCTATACAATTATAATCTACAAATACATACCTCAGGAATGGGTGCAATAAATTTTTCCCAATGGTCTGGAAAGATTTTACTAGCTCCCTCTTGATACAGCCAGTCTACCTCCTGTCTTAGAAAACAAGAAACATATTATTAATAATAATAAAAAACTTGTAATGCACCAATTCTCTATTTTTTGGAACAAGGTCCATAATTATTGTATTAATACTGGAATACTTTTTATAAAGTAGTCCTAACTAAAATTAACACTTTCATTTTTGCATAAAAAAACTAACTTCTACCAACACTTCTTCAAATCTGAAGTTGAAGGTTGGCAATCTATGTGATTCAGTGGAGGACCAATGAATGCAAAATAGAGGGGGCCCGGGGAAGTACTTTCACAGACGGAGGACCTATACCACCTTAGCCCCATCATGGTTGGGGCTAAGGTAAGAAAATTTGTGATTATGGTACCTTTAGATGGCCAGAAATCTCTAACCACTGTATCCTTAAAATGAACTTTAGTCGTAGTCTGAGCTGAAACTTCAAAATTATGAAAAAAATTATCAGATCAGCACATTTAATGTCTATTCTAACATGTGCAAAATGTACACAAAAAAAACCCCAAGTATGCATACTTTCTAACTGTGAAGATTCCACGTAAAATGAGTGCTTTCACTCTATCAGTATGCTCTTGTGCATAAGCTATGCTCAACGTGGATCCCCAGCTACCTCCAAAAAGAAGCCATTTCTCGATACCAAGATGCTTACGCAGTTTCTCCATGTCTTCAACTAGATGCCAAGTTGTATTGTTCTGTAAGAATTAATACTGATTTCAACAATTTTCTTGATGTATCCACCCCATTCCGATCAATTTTAATCACAAAAGAATATGAGTTCATTTTTACTATTAATACAGTATCAAACAAATTATTGTTAAAGATTATTTAATTTTATAGTGCCAAAACAAATGCAGAATAAATAAATCCACCATAATTCTGTCATATTTTTCCTTATGATAACCTTTTCTTTCCCTTAAAATTGAATGCAAAATAATAACTATTGGATTGGATTTTTGTATGAAACACAACAAGAAGAATAATCCATGAAAGTTAGAAGACAATCCAATGCTTATTTTGTCGTGATTTCTTTAAACAGGCATTAGCTATATTACTGTATATAAAGGACCAATGACATAAATTTCGCATCCAAAAGACAAGTATATCAGATGTCCATCACAAAGAAATAATCAAGCAGCTTAGCAGATGGATGTGGACATTCTGGACAAAAGCATTAAAATTTCTTTTTACATGCTCCTTAAAAAAAGGTCTTATATAGTGGCCAGGCATTATAAAATCCAAAATGGGGCTGTAATGACCTTGGATGACGTGATTCCTACCAAAAATGGGATATTAAGACCATAAGGAGCATGTAAAAAACAATTGGTGCTTTTGTCCGGAACATCCACACCTATTCCAAATATGGCCCTAAGCTGCCTGACTAAAAGCAACGGTGCCACACAGGTGTTCCCACAGGTTCTCATACATATATGATTAACAATGTACCTTCAATTCAGCAGCTGGAGTTGATTTTCCTGAGCCTCTCTGGTCAAATAATATAATACGGAAAACTTTGGGATCAAAAAAACAGCGATCAAGGGACTGTATCCCTCCACCTGGTCCACCATGCCTGCAATATAAAAAAAAAAAAAATAAATAAATCTAACAATTCAATAGAACTGGATTTGTTTCTTTTCTTATTATTATTTAATGTAATAAAAGTAATCCCTACGTTTATAGCATTTGCAGTAGGGCTAATAAAACTATAGTGGGAAATCACTCTTCAGGGGCAGATCCAAAATTTTTCAAACAGGGGGTGCAACAGTTTCAGAATAGATTATAACTAATAAGTGAGTAGCACATAACATTGATATAAGATTTATCTCTAATAATATTCCTCTAACCAGTTTGGTAGGTCGTCGCTGTAGTAGCTAGCTAGGCCTATGTCTTCAAGTAAGTAGGCCTAACTTGATATTTGTGGTTAATGTCAATGACTTCGAATATTTGCTGTGTATGACTATTCAATATGAATATTAGTCAAGGGGGAAACTTGGTTAGGGGGCGACTTGGTTAGGTCTCTTATACACATCTACACCGGGTATATTGGGACAAAGCCAAACTAATAGCCACTGTACCATCTTGGCACTCCAGAAGGACCAGAGGAAGCCATAGAATGTCTCTTATACACATCTAGATGTGTATAAGAGACAGGGGGGAAACTTTGTAGGGGGGGGGGCGACTTTGTAAGGGGCGACTTTACAAGGGGGAGACTTGACTGGCATTCTTCTGCAGGGCTAGACTAGGCCTCCTACTACTACTATTCCTACTCTACTACCTAGACTAGCCAAGGCTACGTACGTAGGCTTAGGGTCTAGGCCCCTACTACTACGAAACCCACTACTACAACTAGCCTAAGCACCTAGAGGCTAGCCTGCCCTCCCTGGCTTTCTCGCCTAGGCCTAGCTAGGGGCCTAGGCACTAACTTAAGCTTAAAAGTTACTGAAACTTACACGAATATTACAGGCTTTCCATCTGATTTTCCACACTCCTCATAGTATACTTTATGAATATCATCCACCGACAGAAACCCTGTGTTAAAAGGTTCTGGAATTCCGAAGGTACCAAAATCCGCCAAATCTGCCATTGCTTTCGGTCTGGTTTACTTCGTACTTCGTACCAACACACGTACTATTCGGGAGCAGGTCAAAACGGCAAAAAACCAAAACGGCAATGACCAAAACGGCAATAAACCAAAACGGCAAAAATAAACTGCATTAAAATCACTATAATAATTGTAATGTATTCTTTATTTGAAGGTATTTTTTTTTTCTTTTTTAGTTTAGTTGGGTTTTTTAAAAGCATATGATGAATTTAAGTTTAAATGTCCACACCATACCGTAGGGAAACTCCTTGAGTATAGACGTACAAAGCTGGGCCCACTCAACATCGTACAACCGACAAAACCAATTTTGCTCTCGGTGAGCACTTAGCCGGCGGAACGGTAAGATGAATAGGAATATGAATCAAGGGGGTCTGGGTTCAAATTTAGGGGAGGGGTAAACATTTTTCCCAAAAAAAAAAAAACCAAAAAGGAAGGGGTTCGGAGGTCCTCCCCAGGGGAAAGTGTTCAATTCCTAGGTATACGTTGCATGCGTTTTCTTTTTTCCATGAATCGATGAACCTCAAAAATAAAAGGGGGTCGGGGGTCCTCCGAGAAAATTTTGATTCCTAGATGGCGGGAAATTCAGACGCTCACGCGGACAATTAGATGAGACCTCTGTGGACAACTGTTTCATACCAAACTCAGCATTGCTAGCCAAAAGAGGCATCGACACAAGGATTTAAAAATGAAGAATAAAATAATCGGAATCGAATAAACGCCAGGGGTGGTTTATTGTTCAGAAGGGGTTTTCAGGGGGCGTTTATTCGAGGGAGGCGTTTATTCGGGGGAAGTGTTTATTGTTTTCTTTTTTTTTTTTGTGTGTGTAAAATGGACAGACATATACTCAAATAAACGCCCCTTAATTTCACTGTAAATGTAGAACTACAAAACATAATTACCGTCAAACGTGTTATTGCGTGTTTGATTCGATTTCTAAAATCATGTTCTTCTATATTTGTGCACTGTTTTATTTACTATTTATTTGATTTATACATTGTGTTCCCAGTGCTGAACAGCAAAACCTTAATTTGAACACTATTTCCAATGATTTACCAAGAGCTACATAGCATACCTTAAAAATATATGTGCGAGCCCTAAAATTGTGTGAAGGGAGAGAGATTAGTGGTCTTAAATTCCGTAATAATATACGGGCCTCTGTGGTCTAAACGGCATGATGTAACGCTCGATTCGATTCACACCAGACCTCTTTTTTTTCATACAATTACGAACTTTGGTTGATGAACTACCGTGTTTGACTCGACTGTTTTTTTGTCAAATGTAATTGCATAATACTTCATCAGAAAGTATATGTGGTAAAATATTACCACCCAAACCAGTAAATTCGTACAGTACTCCACTTCTGTATGTACAGTTTATTTTATTTTTTTAATAAACTTTATTTACCGAGGGTAACCCAAAACAACGGTTAGCTGACAATCATGGGGCCCTCGCGTAAAAAAACGGCAAGGCAAAGTTAACAAGAAAAAGGCCAAAATACAAAAAAATATTAAAATATTAAAAATCGATAATATCGGTGAAAATATATATACTAACTAAAATATATTAAAAAATATATATACTATATATATATATATATATATATATATATATATATATATATAAAATGAAGCATGTATGTACAAAGATTTAAAAGCATTTAAAAGGCGTTAAAAATGGTATTAAAAAGTATTATTATTCATATTGATCAAAACAGGATTCGTTATGCTTTCGTGCACTGTGGGACCATGGAGGAATGAAAGCAGAATTCTTTCCTACTTGGTGGGACAAAATCCATGTGATGCATCCAGATAATAAACAATATGAAAATCATTAGCAAGTTGTTTTGGAAGCACCTCTCCTGTGCCCTATAATATATCAGAATCTAGCTGTATTTGATTTACTTCACAGCCCTAATTGAATGTGAAAAAAAATTCAAACACAAAAATGTAATCTTGTAGGTTTTCTTTCTTTATTTTTTAACACTTAGATATATTTTCAAATATATATACATATACATATCTTCTCTAATAAAGTGCATTTGAACATAAAACTTATGTCAAATATATTAAATACATATATTTGATTAAAATGTTAAGGATTCAATAGATTTTTGACTGTTGATGTAACATTATTTTTATTTTGTATACAGTACGCTGACCATTCTCAATATCAAAAACACTATCAGTTTGCAGTCATTTTTTTCTATCAGTAATACATAAATGTGTGTGCCTAAATATATAATTAGTAGGCCTGTTGTCATTAGATTCATTTTTCCGAGGATGTAAATGAAACACAAGATATTCTTAAAACATGTTTTCTGTGTGCTATACAGGGCCTCCCTCTTACTGCAATTTATTACTGTATATATTTTGCATTTAATATTTAATTTTGATTCTGTTGTACTGTATATAGTTCTCTTGCTATATGCTATGTATTTTTTTAAATATTAGCAAGTACATACATTATTATTAATATTACTTATAACAGTGTGTTTCTTCCAGTGAAGCTCTTCCTTAAGTCTTTTTAGACTTACAGTGAAGTAGAGTAGAGTTGTTTGTTTTTGGTTGCAAGAAAAATCCTGGTTAAGGATTGCTTTTAAACCTTCCAATTCCAAAATCAAATTATCAGATTTTATTATTTACATTATAAACACTAAAGGAGCACTTGACACAAATGATATGAATATGCTATGCTACATCCTTAAATATGTTTAAATATGCAATTGAGAGGCTTTGGGCTGACCACCTGGTAAAATCTGCACCGTATACGAAGTAGTATAGATTGCTCATCGAGGGGCCAATAAACATTATGCTTGGCTTCTATACCCAGGATTACAGTTACAGTCATCCTGGGAATCAAGTAAATAAAGCTGCATCATTTTTGTCAATTACTCTCTCTGCTTGCAAATTAATATATGTTTAACCAATTTCAACATCTAGAAAAAAGAATTTTAAGAAAACGTATTCAGAATTATTAACTGCTCATAATGATGCATTGTTGTCTTATTTCAGGTTTAACAATTACTTTATATTTTTCTTGCATATTTTGTTTTGGTTTTATGATCAACTATGGCAAGCTTTGCTTCTACCTTTTATCCCAAATTAATGGAAAATAATCACATTCAAAATAATTATATTTTAGTCGAATGGCCGAGCGGTTAAGGCAGGGGCGCTGAAACCTACAGCCATAAATAATGTTGTTGGTTCAAACGGCATACTCGCCTATGGCTCTGGTGGTAGACTTCTCGGATAAGGACCTATAAATCGTAGGCCCAGTGTACACAATGGATTGTGTGCACTACAGACAGTCCCTGTGGTGGACACCCAGCGTTGCTGGTACCGGGTAGTACAGACACAAAGTGACACTTAGGGGAGAAGAAAGTCTTTGATCGAGTTATTACACCACATATCTAAGTGCCCTGTATTCTTTGGCAAAAGGTGCTATATCAATTTCTATATTTTTATTATTATTATTATTATTATTATTATTATTATTATATTTACGGTTACTTTTCTATTGATTGAATAAACATTTATATAAAACTATCATCATACTATTAAAACTCAAAACAGATGAGAGTATTGACAATGAAAAAGGGGATGTATGTAGCATAACTTAAGAGTAAACACAAAAAGGAGTATGTGGAGTGGAGTTGAATAGCTTAGTGGTTAAGATGCTTGCCTTCTAATCCCAGGGTCCTGGGTTCAATTCCTGTCACTGCAGGACATTTTCTCACGACTAAACTCCACTCTATAGAGCTCAATAAGAGGCTTGGTTTATAAAGCATCGTTCCATCCTGAAAGCATGGCGAGTGTACTTGCTGTGGTGGCAATGAACAAACATCGAATAACAGGCATAATTTTTTACATGATAATCATGATAAATTAAATTACTGTAAAACAATTAGCAATTTTCATTTTGTCATACTGTACTTCACTGAACAATAATAGTCAGCTGTTGAAGGAAAGCCTAGCAATGACAATTTCTTCCATAATTTTGAGATTGAACAGTGTACTGGAACATATTCAAAAACATTTCTTTAATGTTTACATTTAAGAATCCAATTTTACATCTAAATTTCCATCCTAGAATTTTGATCCCTTGCAACTATATGACCTACAGTATCACATATACTTTGTTTTACTTATATTTTTCTATTTAAAGCTTTATTCAAAGGGATTAAGACTTTTATCATAATTAATATCTTCATCAAATGGGTTAGATCCAGAGTCGTCTTCATCAAATGGGTTCTTGGAAGCTGCGGAATTTGGTGTTACAGATCTAGATTGCTGTTTTGGTTGTGAAGATGGCTGTTGTCTTGAAGGCTGTCTTGACTGCGGTACGGCTTGTTTTGTCTGCGAGACTTGCTGCTGTCTCGGGGACTGCCTCGGTGGGTGTGCGACTGGTTGATGTCTGGGCTGTTGGCGTGTTTGTGTTGCAGGCTGCGACGTAGGTTGCTGCCTAGTCTGTGCTGGTAATACTCTTGATGGCGATGAATGTTGTGAGGAGCGTTGTGGTGATGATGCCCTCTGTGGTTGAGCAGTCATTGGTGAATTCGACCTTGATATCGGCTTTATTTGAGCCTGTGGCAATGGCTTAATAGGAATGCTTTCAGGCATCGCTTTTCGCTGTTGTGAATTTGATGATTCAGTTACCAGTGTTACCTAAGACAGATCAGGAGAGGCACTAGTAAATCAATGAAGAGACAACTTTCATGTGGTCCACCCTGGTTTCATAATTAGGGAGCTTTTGATTTGTGTGACAATGTAACGCTAGAATGGATTCACTCATCCGTGACCGTCCTTCATTTTGTACACAACGTAGAATTGTGCCAAACTACATCGTACCACAAGAACGCTCTTGCATTCGCAGATGACATTTTGGTGACGTCATTACCTTCTAGGTCCAACCGTCGTCGTGCAATCAAAAGTTCCCTAAATGTTATAAAACCAGAATAGCAACACCACCAAGTCCCGAGTAAACATCCAGAAACTGGCAGATGCCTCCTTCGCTTGCCTGGCATTTGTATACTAAGAGGTTTACTCTAAATTAAAGTAATACTGTTTTACATCATAGAAAAATATTAACAAGTTTAAAATACCATTACTGCATTTTATATAGAGAATGGCCTTTAAACACTAGTCTTTCATTGACTGGATAGCTAATAATTAATATACAATTTACATAAAAATTACACAATGCATTACCTTGTTGAATACGCCCCTCCCAAAGTAGTCAGCAACAACAGAGAACCCATCTGACGATTTCTCTAACTAAAATAAAAAACAAAATTAGTGTTAGTGTCTGTACTTTTAGCAATTTCATTCACTTATCAATGCTTTAATCCATCCATCCAACCATTCATTCATTTCCATAAATATATTTATATCCAAATATACAACTGACTGAATATTAACTAAATATATATACCATGTTATATTAATTATTACTTCTTCAGTGTGGGGAACTTGTGAATGTCTTTTGTGACTTCATACAACAAATACATTAAATTGTGTAAAAAAGCACTCCATTGTATCTGAATGAAACAGATAATTCCCACCCCATCGAATGAAAATGAATGTATTGTAATTGTTAATAGTGATGCACTGACCTGCCTATGAAATTGTTCATGAAGATCACGGCTCTGTTCTTGCGCTCTGATTATGTCCAACACTTTTTTGTTTTCAGGTGCACACACAGGACATTCTTGATCATTCTCAGCATAGCCTTCAAAACAGCTAATGATGGAAGACATGGAAAAATTACTTGTTGCATATATTTCACACAATATTTTACTTATATGTTATATTCATATATTTTATTTAAAGCAGTATTACTTGCCTTCTAATCCCAGGGTCCTGGGTTCAATTCCTGTGCTAGCCTGACTTTTTCTCACAAATAAGAACAATTCACCCGATAAACCTCATAAAGAGACTTCACTGATAAAGCATCACGTTATTTCATCTATTTAAGAGGGCCCCTGAATATCAGCCCACTTCCTAGGATATGCTGGAAGGGTCACCCTCTATATATATGGTTTAAAAAAAAAATTACTTACTGTTGGTGATATGAGTGCTGGCAAAGGAAGTGTACAGATGGCAGCTCCAGTGCATGGTTACATATGCTACATGTGGAGACTTGAAATATTTTGGCACTGAAAAAGTAATAATAAAACATGTTATAACTATATTTTCCATCAGCAGTCATTCACAGAAATTGCATTTTATAATTCTCTTAAGATAACTTTATTATTCTACTTAGTGAAACTCTTTGCTCACCATATATAGATAAATACATGAATAAAATCATCACAGTACTAAGTTAAATAAAATTTTTACCATTATCATTATTATTGCCACTGTACAAATATATACAAACGTTATCTAATAATAGTTATTTTGTTTGAAAGAAGAATTTGTGATAGTGCCTTTCCATGAAACAGGAAAGACATCTTGATAGAGATGTACTAGTGCACTCCACAGGTACCTTGCTTTGAGATCCTCAATTTGACCTTTCATCTTTTCAGTTTCTTGCTGGTATTGCTGGATGAGTCGCTGGTCTTCATTTATCTGATCATTTTCTTGTTGCAGCCTTCGAATAATATAATCCTGATTAAAAAAATAAAAATATTAAAATCATTAATAAAAAGGTTGAATTAATAGGGAATTCAAAACATCAGATGAATTAAAAGAAATAAGAAATTAAAGAATGAGAAGAAAAACAAGGAAAAGGATCTACCAAAACATAAGCACATGAAATTTTTTTAAGGAATAAGATGAGGTTTTGTAGTTTCGGTTGACCTAAAATTAAAGCTTTGTGCCAAAGTTTATTAAGAGTGATAATAAAAAAAAATATGAATAATGCACAAATAATACAAAATCTGACCTTTACTACTGAAAGAGTTGCAGTGGAATTGTGTGCTAAGGTTTGGATCACCAGCAGAGGTGGCATTAAGTTCCTCTTATCAACTTGCGACAAAACCTCTGTTATATGTGGTTTACAACTCTCTTCCTTACGAGCAAAATAAGCTAAGGTCTGCACCCACAAACTGGAGTCTTGTGTTCTATAGTATGGGAAAATATATATATGCTTAATTTTGTTTAAGTTTTCGAAAGTTAATGTTTAAAATTGCACAATGATAAGTCAACTTAGAAATTCTATTTGCCAGTGGGTGCATATAATACACTTGACAGGCTTGTATGTCGGTGCTTAGGTTTAAGTAAGTTGTTAAACACTTCAAACACATTCACAGGATAAATGGCTATGGATGTTTACATTTTTAACTACTACTGAAGGATGAATCAGGTCACAAGTATAGTACTTGACAATTAGAATTCTGTTTTTCCAACATAATATATTAAATAGCTCAACTTCATTCTAACATCTTCCAGCACCGTGACAAAAAACAGGCACTATAAAAATGTGTTATATTATTATTAAATCCAATCATTTATTGGATGAAGTGTTGTGATGATAAGTTAACAACCATTAAGTTATGTATAGGTGACACAAATCCAGTTATTGTCTATTATTCACCTATACTATTATTCCATCACGACAATAACAATTACTAACCATTAAGTTAGTTATGAGGCTATTACTGTACCCACATCAGGCTAAGCTCTCTGAGATCTCACACTGTATTTATGGTTAACACAGTAGAACATGGGACACCCTATTAAGGGGACACTTTTTCAGGCACTAAACAAGAGAAAGTATGTCATTTAACACTATGGTCAACCACTATTCAGGGGACATCACTTGCAAGGTGACACTTTACAGTTCCTGAATGTGTCCCCTTAAAAGGGGTTCTAATGTAGTAATACATTTGTTTTGCAAGTCAAATAAACTTTCGAGTGATTGATAAAAATATACCTTAAATGTTGGATTTCCTTGAAAGAAAAACTTACCCATATCGCTTGCAAGTCTCAATAACTTGAACATATTCATCATGGTCCATATGGTAGCGAAGAATCTGTTGATACCTGAAGAAGAAGCGGAGTAATGTAATATTTGTTCTCTCACAGCTCTCAGTAAAAAGAAAACCATGCAGTTAACATAGGTTTACTTTTGCTTGTCGGAATGAGGTTATGGATTAATAAAGTTGGAGATACCAATAAAGAGAATTCCTTCTTGCCGCAACTGAAAAAAATATCAACCAAACCCAGAAATGTTGGCGATAAATAACTAATGTAAACAGCTAGGGACTGAAAATGGATGTCACACCAAGGATCATAGGTTAATAAATATTAAATGATGTTGACTCTCTTTTTAATATTTGTGAATTTGTAAACTGCATACAATAAGTATAATTAATTAAATTTGGTTGAAGCTAACAAAACATTTGCTTCTGCAGTAATGTATTACATTACTTTTGCATGTTTTATATTAGGATTAAAAAAAAACCATAATAATAATAAAAAAGAAATCACAGAACATTTGTTTGTTTTGAACTTACAATTTTGCTTTTTCATACAAATATAAAATTCCTTTTTTGAAATCATGCATTTGGCAAAGAACCAGTGCTTGGTCAATATCATATCCAGCCTGAGAAAATAAAGAAAAAATAAAGGAGTAATAATAAACAAGTGATTTTCATAAACTATGAAATAATTCAATAAATACAGTTGAACTTGTATAGGTTGACTCTGCCTAACTCTCATAATTTTTAAGTCGATCTTATTGCACATGCCAAATTGTTGTATTTTCCATTAATTAACAATCTGTAAGTCTAATTTTATCTAAGCCAAACCATTTTTCAATCACATTTTGGATTGGACTTAGGCAAGTTCAAATGTAAACAAGTGTTATGTACTGTAAACACTAATCAATATTTAGAAGCAAAATAACAATAACAAGAACAGCAACAGCAATTCCGCAGCAACAGCAAATCAGCAGCAACAGCAATTCAGCAGCAACAAAACAAAAATTATAACAATAATAATAACTAGACTTACATAGGGCTTTTCCTAATTGCCATGATGAGAAGTGATTTTTTAAAAATCATTAAAAAAAATATATATATAGTTAAAAATACATAATAAAGAGTATAAAGTATAAAAAAAATAAACATAAAAACCAACTCAATGTCATTAAGCCACGAACTATGGCTGCAATGGTACAAGTGAGGGAGATGTTAAAAGTTCTTACTATTACGCTAAAAACCTGACCCGGTGGAGGTCAGTGCATTTTTTGTCAGCTACCGTGCACAACGTTTTAAGTTGAGGGTGAAAATTGTTCATGCATTTCACAGTTATTTTGTGTTTAACCCAGCTTTAGCTACTGTAGTTTGAAACGTTTTAGGAAACACAAATTGCATTAACATACAAGTTTAATTACCCATTTTTCAATATTCAAAATATGTAGAATGACATCATATTTTAATATGCACATCTTTGATATAGGATATTTGCTTGGATCCAAGCAAGAAAGTGACCATATTGCCAGATGGAGACAGTGTCCAAAAACATAGGGAAAGGGGATAGAGGAAAAAAGAAAAAAAAACAATTGCTTTTCACAATAATGTGGAAAAAGCCAATAACAATAATAATGATAATAATAATAATTTCTGACTTTTTCTACTCACATTAACGTTGTGCATGAGACTCATAGACTTCTGTTCCAGTTGCACCTGTAGCCTTGAGTCTGCCTCATGGGCCATATCATGCATGTACAGCTCAAGCAGAGTATTGTAGATTATTTCTGGAGAATTCGGTTGAACCTACACAAAAAATTCCAAAATCTACTCTTTATTTCAAAAATTTACAAAATACCTTCTTTACCTAAATTTGATTTTAAATGGAAAAATGGTATTCCAACACAACACCTACATGTATATCAAAGAACATATTGGTATTATAACTTCTATTACATTAGAAAAAACAAATCTATTTAAATTAAAAGTTTTCATAAACGATTGTAGCATAAGTCCAATGAATAATAAAATTATTCAGCAAGCAAACTAGATTTATGTACGCATATAAATAGAATATATGCTACTACGCATATAAATAGAATATATGCTTCTACCTTTTCTAGTCATATGAATAGAATATGCTATAACCCACCCTTGTCATATGTTCCAAGAATTCCATAAGTTTACGGGAGTTGTTTACAAAGATGTGAATAAATTCTTCAGCGGCTGCTCTATTTACAGTAGGCATACCCCCTGCTAATGTATCTTGGTCTACGATTGGTGCTGCAATATAAACAAACAATCCAAATCTTTAATTTGAACATACTGTTTGAAATTTTACTCATTCAATTAAACAAAAAAAAACAAAACAATTCCCCCCCCCCCCCACATCTAACATCAAGGACTGTACAGCATATAAGTGATTTGCCCATATATGGACATAAAGATGCCATATCTCACACATGAAAAATCTCACAAATCTTTACCGGTCTCTAAAATATATTCTAATTTTTCAGTTTAAAGGGCCTTTCCATTACTAAACATTTGTAACAAAATTTCTACTCTCCTACACTATTTATTGGTAGTATTGTTATTATATTTGAGCTTATTTTGGTTGATAAATTTCTTGATTGATTCTTTTTTTTCATCATATTAAGAGACGTACCTTTTATGAAAAGAGTGCTACTGTACATAAATTTAGTAAATAAATGAAATAACATATTACAACATCAATATATTACAATGATGGTTTGGGCATTCAAAAGCAAACCAACTTAAAAATGTACAAGCAGCTACGTTGTTTTGGCGGGACGCAAACACTTGTTAATTTATTGCTTATACATTTATAAATTCTGTTATCTATCATTCAATAAGTAATTGCTGATGTTGTATTTACAGTCTATAGGCTTGTAATCAGTACACAGTAATTTGAGGAGTTCCGTAGTAGCAGTTGGTACTTCACTCATCAGTGTCTTGCCATATTTCTTCATATTGCTCTCAGTCTATTTTTGGAATATGATGAAAAATACTGTATAATTCAATATTTGTAAGTTATCAGATTTCAAATCAGAGAATTAGAGCCAGAAAATAGTTTCATTAGAAAATTTAGATGCATAATTTACTGACATGTATGCTGGTTCAGGTATACTTTATTTAATCATCATTGCATTGATTATTAGTTACAAAAATAAAAACTATACAAATATTACAATGATTACAATTACAATAAAAACAAAACAGAGTTCATCACACCATTTAACTACTGTAAAAAAGTTCAATTAAAAATTCAAATACACAATTCAATAATACAATTCAATTACACGTTCAATTACATTCTCTCTAAAATATAATAGCATCCACTGATCTTATATTCTTTGTATTACACTCTTAAAGTGGCAGGTATTTTCAAAGTAAACTTTACTGCATAAATTAATGAAAATGTAAATTCTGATGTTATAAATGACAATATTTCAACTTTAACCTCTTCAAAGCTGAGTCGTGAGATGTACTGCAAAGCCTTCTGATAATCCTTGATGTCCTCCAGCTGTATCTTCAGATACCAATCATGCTGACCATGTTTCTCCGCTAGAAAGAGGGCGTGCTTGTAATAGCCTGCTTGACGGCATACTTTAATAGCAGTCTCAACATCAAAATCTACTTTTTCTTTGGTCTGAGGAAAAAATCAAGATGTTACATTTATAACCTTAAAACAATTTTGTTTAGATACAGATAATCACACAATATAGACATCATAATGTAAGAATACTGGCTCTTCATGATTATATGATTAGATCCTGTTGGAATGCCATTTCTATTCTATTTTTATTTATTTATTTTGTTTGATGCTAAGGCAAAGCCTTAGCATCAAAGAGCATTTATTTATACAGTATAAAACACTCAAAATGCAACAAAACTTAAAAAACATCTTGAGTTTACATATAAAAAGATGCCTACCATATAGAAAACAGATACAAGAACCACAAAATACTATACAATAAAAATATAAATAAGCCTACAGTAAAGTTAAAGAAATAACTAATTATAAAAAAAGTAGACATAGATTATTGGTCGTTACCCCAACTTAGTACTGGCCCTTTTAAGAGTTTTCCTTGTTTCAGGACTATACAAATATTTGTTATTATTCCTAACCTAATGCGCTTCTACCACTGAACTTAAGGTTGAATTTTTAAAACATTAAATATAAAATCAAATATGTAAATGGATGCTTACCATGATGAATTCATCTAACTTAGTGTTGTCTTTGAGTTTAGTGTAGCAGTTAAGTAAGAGTGTTGTGTGGTCTTCATTGGCAAGGGATTTCGTGTGAAGTGCCTGCAGGTAAGCTGTCAGATTATGGATCCTCTGAGCATCAAGAAACTACAAGGGAAAAAAAAAACATTTTTGTAAGGTTTTGACAATCAAAATTCGATGCCCTTTTTGTAAAATCTGGATAGAACTCATCCAACTTTAACAATTAAATTTTTTAATTGTTCATTTGAAAAAAAAAAAAAACTTATCAACTTTCATTTCAGCTTTTACTTTTCATTGATTTATAGACTTACTACTAAAATATTATATTTGTTGAGACGAAATATTCAACACTTATTCTGGTGGATTTGTATCACTCTTTAGGTCAATTTAATATGTACTCTCTTTTACTATGAGAGAGAAAAATCAAGCTATATTTATTCAACTTAAAATATTTAAATTGATTATAAGCAACCTAAGAGTACATGCAAAGAATATGGGACTGGGTGGCATTTACATGTCTGTTACAAAGCCACTTTGTAGTTGAAACTGCGCATGCAAATATTGCAGGTCAATCGACATAAACAAACACAGCATAGGCTTACTAGTTGGCACAGCCTTAGGTATTGTCTGATTTTTTAGTAAGCTATTACGTAACAGTTCGTAATTTCGGAAGCTGCACCACCCTTTGAGGCCTAACTAGGTTGGCCTAGCATCCAGCCTATGTTGTGTGTGTAAAGTGTTTATGTGGATTGACCGTCAATACAGGCATGCACATTTCAAAATTTGAAGTGGCTTATTGGCATAGAACTTAATAATTTTATTGTTTGAATTGAAAGCTAACCTCCTACCTAAATATGAAAAGCATTCAAAATATTGAATTTACTGTTCAAAATAAGAAAGAATAAAAAAATTACATGAGGTGTATATTTTTTTAACTGTACCTTTCTTATAACATATGATGGTTCGAGGTTACCAATTGTTCTTATATACTGGCCAATAGCACCATCATGATCCCCTTTGTTGTACAAGTGATCACCATACTGAGTAAAAATATCAACTAGACCATCTTCATCATAGTGCTGGCTTTTTGCCAAACTGAAAACATCACATAAATGTAAAAAATAATTAATAAAATGTTTGATTTATTGTATAAAACAAACATTGTCATATTTCAAACATTATTCGAACTATAGATTCAATTGATTCATTTATATAATTTATCATCATTTACTATAAATAATACAAATAAGAATAATCAGTAGTTTAATTGAATTTTTATTTTCTGAACAGAAAGTGTAACACTCAAACCAAGGACTTATAACTGTTACCAATTAGACAGGAAGTTTGGATTTTCTGAGCATGTGCAGATTGTGCTTATCTGGCTCATTAGCATAACAATACCAGCCAGCTTCCTATTCCGGTAACAGTTATAAGTCCTTGCTTCAACCAACCCTGCAGTTGTAATAGAGTGCCACCTGCAATGTGGTATTGATTCATACCAAAGATCTTATTTACAAGATAACACTCTCCGTAATCAACACATAACAATTAGAAGCGTATGTTCATTTTTGAGGGAGGGCATTCAAGTTGTTACCATGGTTGTTACAGAATATGCACACAGAAATCATGATGTCAAAGTTGAAAAGTAATCATTTTTGCTAGAGGTCACCCTACACTGCGTTATTACAGAATTTGCATGCAAAAATCCTTGCGAATGCTATCTTGTTATTATAAGATCTTTGATTCATACCTTTGTTGTTTGACTGTTTTGTTCTTCACACACTGATAAAGCAAATAATTATATAGCCCTACCAAGTTGCAGTGAGTCATGGCTTACTTACGTGTGTGACACCTTTCTATAAGTTGAGTAGGCACTCTCTTTCTGTCATATACACTCATCCACAATTCACTTACATTTACGATCATGACATTATTTATAATTTTACTGTACAAGGTAACTTACTTTATTGCCATGACATACAAATTCTTCTTAAAGAGCATTTCTAGCTTGGTCTGTGTATCTTTTTCTGGGAGTTGAAACAACTATGTTATAAAAAGAGATAACAATTTTGTATCATATATTATAGACATACTGTATTCAATTATAAAATACATCATTCATAACTTCATTCAAAGATATAAATATCTATATCATCATTTAATGTCATTTAATTAAATTTCCATAACAAATATTTAAATCATTATGAGAATAAAACAAACAAAACTTAATATCATTTAGAACTTTTTGAGATAAAGAAATTACAACATTCAACATCATCACTAAGTAAACTTTCATCGTTCAAAGCATACCTTATCCCCAGCAATGACATAGAGGGAGCCCCACTCACAAACAACATCGACTACTTCTGGGAATGGACCAGAATAAGCTGAAAAGAAATCATAAAGTTATCAGTAAAATCATGTCACCACATAGATTACTTATTTGATTGAAATACAAGAGTGTGGAAAGACTATGATGAGGAGATATGAGGCTTGTCGCTAAATATTAAACTGAGTAATTAGCGGCTGTATTGCAAAATTTAGCATAGAGAAGCCAGCAAATGACATATCATTTCAAAGCTTATAATGTGGAGAACATGAATATTTTGGTCACCAATGCTGGTTTTGGCATGGTAAGCCCCATATGACCAACTCACCTATGAACTTATTCTGAATATCATACACTGTCACAATGTCCATTTGTCTAGTCTGTCCACTACTGAAGTAAGAAGAAAGAGGTTATGAATGTTGCATAACAAAATAATTCATAAAACTAATAATGTGATTATGAATGTGATTAGGACAAAAACTTTAAAAATAATGATATTGATCCTCAATATCCAATTTCATGGATTATTTATTTTCATAATGGGGAAAAAAAATGTATCCCCAGGGTTCATAAAGAAACACTAGTTATAGAGGATTGGGTGTGAGGCATATAGTTAGGGTTTGTTAATGAGGTTAATTATGATGATGACGTAAAATGCACTCACCTAGTTTGAACTCGAGGAATATTCTTGCTGTCCTTACCCACAATGATAAGGTACCCACGATACCAATGTAACAGCCGCTTTTCTCCTTCAAATGCCAGACAGGGACCGCGCCCATCCAAGTGGTAGAAATACACTGCCTATATATTATGTAATTAATATTTAATAATAATGATTTTATAATTAAGTAAATAATAGCATGTTCTTATATAGAGATGACCACTTGATGTGTTGGGCTTCAGCCCACGTCATTTCTAGTCACGTAACTGGTCAATAAATAATTTAAATGTATTGTGAAAAGTTTGTAACAAATAAACAAAACACACAAACAAATAAATAAATAATGTCAACAAGCGAATCTATATATGAGGCTACAACCTAGCCAATCAATGAATGTAGTGATCAGGATGTTTATGTTTTAGTCATGCATTAAGTGAACTGAAAATTCTTACATCATGTCGACCAATGATTAATTGATTGTCCTGGGTACTGTCACTCATCACAGTGCAGCGTTGAGGGCAACCATGCTCATCTAGTACCTCCTGCATTAACAATCAAAATTTGAATTCATCTAATGACGTTATTGCCGATTACTACAATTACACTAAATTTGTAGGTACCATATTTAATTGAACAAACATACCGGGGCGAGAAGGGTTTTTGAGGGGGAGTTTATCAATGGGGGGGCGTTTAATTGAGGAGGAATTCATTTGAGGGAGGCATTTATTTTTTTTGGGTGTAAAATGGATATATATACTCAAATAAACACCCCTTAATTTCACTGTAAATGTGGAACTACAACACATAATTACTGTTAAAATGTGTTACTGCGTGATAAACACTTATTAATGCCAACCAGGTTAGAAAAAATGTAATTCTACTGGAGTAAAATATTAATAAGTGTTGAGAATGATGTTGCTTCCATTGGATTTGTTTAGACTCATTTAGAGGGGTGTTTATTTGAGAAAAAAATTAAAACTTAGGGGCGTTTATTTGAGGAAAGCATTTATTCCAAATGGGGCATAGTGTTTTTCTGTAACGTTTTATGAACAAGTTTGCGTAAAACACATTGTTATCTAGGCAAGACATTTTTAAACTTTTTTTCACAAACCTGATGCCAGTTGTTTTTCATTTAAAATGAAAAATTTTGGCCTGTTAGCACAATGTCTGCCATGAAAAACATTGAAATTTAAAAAAAAACAACATTTATGCACAATTTTATTGTTTTCCTCACCATTTAAAAAAAAATAAGACATTTCCTTTAATCATACCCATAGCAAAATTTAGTAAAATCCAATAAAATCATGTAGAATTGACATTACTTTTACTTTTATAAAGTCATTAATTTCTCTAAATACCTTTCTAGCATCCTTTCCAGTCACATTGTAAGATAAAACCATATTTTCAGTGACTACAAATAAAAAGGAGTTACGTTGAGTATGTCTGAATGAGAGACCAGTAACAGGCTTGCCACCTCCATGGATAGTCTTTGATTTGCTATGCCTACAGAAACAAACAATTTTGATATCTCAAAGTAATGGAAAAGACAAAATACACAATAACATAATAATTTCTAATGTTGATATTTTCCTTATTGGTAGATAAACCTACTTCCCATTCTAATCAAAAAATTCACTTGTACTAAATAGAGAGCTATCCTATCAATAGATAGCTCAAGTTCTAAAATATACTCGCCAACAGACTTCTCCTTATCCCACACCACACTCAAATCTATCCAACACCAAGTCACCTACTCTACTTTGCCCCAACACCTTCAAACACTTCGTACTAACCACACTATACTGTATCTAATTTTAATAACAGAGATCCCAAGTCTCCCGAAAATTCGCGGGTTCTCCCGAATTATGAGGCCGTCTCCCGCCCTCCCGATTTTTATTAATATCTCCCGACTTTTTTTAATATCCCGAAAATTTCACGAAAAATGTGATGTCCACGATGTCATAGAGCAATGAAACAAAATTTCTTATCTTAAGCCAATATACTATGGCGCTCGCTCAGCCATAAAATGTCATAACAAGGCCAGGGAGTTGTTATTTAAGTTGTTTATCAAATAACAACTCCAGGGCAAGGCAGGCCTAGATCCGTGGTGACGTGTTTATCCTCCATGTTACGATCTTTTGCATCCAGCGCCGACCTTATTCAATGAGATGGCTGTCAGTTGAGTAAATAAATTTCAACAAATTAAAGAAATCAGAAATCACTTGGGAATGGATGGGGCCCCAAGTTTTCGCCGCGAAGATTTGGAACAGAATCGGTGCATAAAAAAATACCTTTTCTTTCAAGTAAGCTTCAGTTCTTTAATAAAAATACTAAAAATTTATAGTTAATAGGTTTTGGTACTAAGCAGTCTTCCGAAAAATGAAGTTTATTTTATATCGATCCCGAAATACATGTAGGGCTTAGGCCTAGACTGGCTCTATCTGCAACACTGCAGGGTATGTACTGTATGTGTGTTGTGTTGGGTGGGCGTCTGTGTGTAGTGGTGGTTGTGACTCTGCGGTATTAGGCCTAGTTACGCACGTATAGATGGAGCCTAGCGAGGCAGGATTTAATGTTTTTTTCATGGCATTATGTACCAGTTATTATAAGCTAGACATATATAAATGCCGACTTAAAACATGTAGTATGATTTACTAACTAAATTAAAATATATATATATTTTTTTATTTTTCAGTAAAACGTGTGAATCTTGCAAGTTGCAGTTACCTTGCTAGAATTCTATGTTCTTTGATGAGATGTAATAAATCAGCCGTAGCCTCTAACATGCCAATGAACCAAGCAAAGCCTTGTTGACTGCTGCCAAGAACGCTTTACTAGCTAAATGCTAAATAATTAATAATATTTATAAATTTATATTTTAGGCCAACTGCAATGTGTAAACAAATGTAAAATTGTTAAATAAAAACAAATTGATGAAAATTGTTTGTTTTCGTCATTTTGTGTAATACTTTCATGTTGCACAGCGTGTTGTAAGGCGTCACAGCGCGTCGCTACAGGAGGCGATAGCTTCATGAAAAAAATCTCCCTATTTTTTGGTTTTCAAACTTGGGATTTCTGTAATAAACCAAATTTCCAAAAATCTATATTCAGTTTCCACTTTAATCTCCACTATACTCCACCTTAGTCGACTGAATCTACCACCATTCCCAGTGGTGGATTTAAGGGGGGAGGGGTAAGGGCCCAGCCAGACTGCATCCCCTCTCTGGATTTTTTCAAAATTATTTAAGGATGGAGAAAAAAAGAAATTATGTTCAAATTTAAGTCTGAGATGCCATCTAGCCATCTAGAGGTGCCATGATCATAAATTTTCTTAGACCCTCCATTTGTGAAAGTTCTTCCCCCCACCCACGGACTCCCTCTATTTTGAATTCCTGGTTCCACCACTGATTCCACCCAACTATCAGCGGTGGCGCCAGCAAAGAGGCAGGGAGGGAATTTTCCTCCAGGACCCCCTGTCATCCAACACCACAACAAATAATAATTTGCCTATCCAAATAACGTTACTTTGATTGCCAATCCCTAATATTTTGGCCTAAAAGCACAATTTGGCCCAAAATAAGCCATAAAAACTCTCCCAGTGAGCCCTACTAGGGATTTTTTATTGCCAGACCCTGACCAAGGTTCTTGTCTGACCCTTGTTTTGAATCCCGTCAGACACGTCCAACCCCATCAGTAAATTTCTGGAGCCACCGCTGCCAACTATATCCCACCTCATTCTAGCATATACATGTACAGTGTACAATAAAATTACCTTTCAACTGTAACATCTCCCTTGATTAGAGTAACAGTGCCATCTTCAAAGCCTACGGCCATCATGTTCATGTTATCACTGACACTAAGCGCAGTCACCCTCGATGGATTCATGGTACCAGGTAGAGCACGAGTGATTCTTGAACACTTCGGGATCCCCATCTTATCCACCTAAAATTCATCAAAACAAAACAACAGAATCAAACAGTGAAAAATAAGCGAAAGGGTTTGGCAAATTGGAACAGCTACTGTTGGGAATGGGAGTAGCATCTTTCCCCACCACCCCCACCCCCCTACTGCTGATTATTTTCTACCCCTGCTGGCTATTTTCCTCTTGTAATTTTACCCCTGGGGCTATTTCCCCTTGACTTTTAAGTATGGGGCTATTTTCCTTTGTGAATATTTCCACAGGGAAGAAGGAAAAGCCAGTAGAAAAAACCAGGAAAAAAATTACTGGGTGAAAGTAGATTGGAAGTAAGCTTTGACTGAGGAATTGAATTTTGTCAAGAATGAAGCTGAAATGCATGATCAAAAACAGGCTATAGCAAGGGTGAACAAAATGGGTAAGCCAGCCTAACAAAACAAAATACTTAAAGGAATGAAACTGCATTACCTTGTCAAAGTTCCAGACCTTGATAACTGGATTAATACCTGATTCATCTTGCTGAAGAAAAATAGTATAGAAGGATTAAATAATGTAGATTATTAAAGATTACTTAATTGTATTTACTGTATCATTTTCTACCATGAAAGACACAGTGCTAATTAATAATTGTGTGATAGTAATAAAAAATAAAAATAGGAGTAATACTTATTTACAAACAATATAAACATAGCATGATCATTGTTGAAGTGCCTCATTTCGTTAAAATTATAATGCTCATCCTCATCATTGGTACCTTGACTTGTTCATATGTATGTTTGTCTATTTATTGAAATTATCCATACAATTACAAGGCTCAAGACTACAGGTGCATTGAAATTCAGCATAAATTCTCATGAGGAACTTTAATGACAGAAACAAGAAGCTACATATAAAAATGTAGGATAAAATAGAATTAAAAGACTAACATATTATTTTGATGCATATTTACTCACCCCAATTGTAACAAGTACATTATGCTGTCTCAGCTGATAGATATGCGTCACTACTTGCTCATAAGCAGGGAAAGACGAGATTTGTAAATTACGGTCAATGAAGTACAAATTACCCTCATAGTCACCAACAATTATTTGACCCTTACCGCTAGTACAAACGGATATGTTTATACCCTGGAAAATAGAAAAGGTTTTTTTTGGTTTTTTTTTTTTGTCACATTTATGACTCATTACTAACAGGATGGAAGTGATGATGTATAAATTAAGTCTTATTACAATGATTAGACAGTGGAGATGTTTCAGTCAAGAAAAATCCTGATTTTCTTAAAGCTTCATGAAGATAGATCTTGAATCAAAAAATCTGGGAAACATCTACAAAACTATAGTTCCATTTATCACACAAAACAACAAATTATACTTAATTTACTTAATTCAATTCTTCCATTCAGAATAACCCATTCAGCTGTGTTATATTACTATATTAATACTTAAAAATAATGCATTACAAATAAAGTAAAGGTAGGGTAGGGTAAAGGTAGGAGAATAACCCCTAACTCGCATCGTCATTGTGTAGAATTGGATATGGCTGTGGTCCGCAACTACCTAGTTGCGGATCACTAATATACTGTATATCTGTAAATTTAAATAGCAGGTACAAAGAGTTGGACCAAAAAAAAACACATGGAAGGAAGAAATTGAGTGAGATTTGAAGAAAACGAAAGTCAATAGAGAACTTGCTAAGGATAAGCCAGCCTGGAAGTCTATGCTAGCAAACAGACGTTAAAATGAATACGATGATAAATCAATGACAAGATACTCTGTGAAACTGATGATAGTAACAACAGTCTAATTAAATCCTTGTTCAGATTATCAAATATTCTTTGACAACAAACTGCCCATATATAGTCATGATGTGCCTAAATATGGTCATTATGTGATGTCATCATGACCCATATTTAGGCATATTGCATGTTTTTGTCAAATAAAATATGGTGTTCTGGACCAGGGCTTAACAATAAAAATATTTGTTACTAAAAGGGTGTTAAAAAATACTATTGAGAAGAACAAGGATAATGTATTAAAGTCCATGATAAATATATAATTTTTGATAATACAGTATTGCCATCATTTATCAATTTATAATTTACTAAAACTAACTGTATTTAATAATTAAAAAAAAAAATAAATAAATATTATCATGACATTAATATAATAACATACTTACTTTCAACTTATCATAGATTTGGTTTGTGTCAGGGTGTTTCACTACCTCCTTGTCAAAAAAATTAAATCTTCGCCACTAAAAGAAAATTATGACATAAATAATATGTAATTTATGCCTTGATTAAATACAGTAATATATAGGAAAATAGATGCCATTTATCTTGAGTTACAAAAGCTCTACATTATCTAATTCTGATGAACTACTGTATATCATAGGCCTATAACTTTCTGTAATGTTTTTATTGAAATAAAAAATAAAAAATAATGTATTTATAATTGTATTACTACAAGAGGTACAACAGGTAAAACTGTTTTGTCACTTTTATACGCTTCTATATTGTTTTAAGAAATACATTATTCTTATTTTTTGTCATTTTATGTTTTATGCATTCTCTACTACCAGCCCTCCTGGAGAACAGTAATATATAAAAGAATCATGTATCTTGTATTACTGAAGAGGCTACCCAGTATTGAACAAATAAATAAATATATAAATAAATACATTTTATTAAATGCAATAAAATTTTAAGCAATCTTGCCAAAAAAATATATAACACTTCTAATAAATATAATATGCCAAATTCCTTGTAAGGTGAGACTTAGTTTATGCCTTGTTTAGCGAACCCCCCGAATGCAAATATTGATGATTTTGAATAAAAATAAAATTTAATTTTTTGACAATTAGGTCACCCACCGCCACGAAAAAAATGGAAAAATGTTTTAAAAAATTTTTATTACGCCTTACGCTGCCTTGAAATGTCCACAGACAAGATATGTATATTTCTTCCTAATTATATAAATTTGAAGCATTTAACAATCCCATTTTACATGTTCACCAATAAATTTTTAAAATTTTTTAAATTTCCTCCTCTGTCTGGATGTTTTTGGCAAAACTATTTGCTAAATAAGAAAACAAAATTTTATTTTTATCTTTATTCCGCCCTCCTCTGATGATCTTTAAAAAAATAAGTATGTGAAAAAGGTCTTGGTTAAACAATATCTACTTTTACTTCTCCAATTACTTATTTTTTTCAAAACAAATAGGAAAATCTAGGACAATATTTCAAATGTAATCGAAGGGCAATCAATGGTGTACTGTAGTGAAACGCTGTGGTGTGGGTAGGGGCCTAGCCAATGTCACGCAGTCCAGTACAAGGAGGGGTATTCCCTCCTAATCACCCACCATCCTACTACTGCAGACTACAGTCTACACTACAGACCCTAATTTGACACTCAGACAAGGACACCAACAATAGAAAAAGTAAATTCCTGGGTTTTTAACTAGTCTAGGCCTAGGCCTACAAAATAAAGTAAAAGAATTTTGAACGATATTGGCATTGCCATAATTATGTCTTTCAGCATATTCATAAAGTTAAAGGCTTTAAGACAGTAAAATGTGTGTCACGTTGTATGCAACTAGGCCTAGGCTAAGCTAGGCTAGACCTAGCCTTTATCATGCAAGTCTTTCCTTATGTGTTGACTAGGCCTAACAACCTTACTTCGCTGCTGGCTGCTGTACGTACTACGTACGTACGGGGGTGCAGCACCGCACCGGCCTCGTCAGCACTGCAGCCAAATGTAATGCCGTATTTCGCCTACACAAGCCTATAATTGGAACCTAGCCTAATAATATCCACACAAATATACTTTTCAAAAAAGTTTATCTATGCATTATTAGAAAGGCCTGGGCCTAGACAAATTTACGATGTTGAAAACTTACTTGCTGCAAGAAAGCCATTTTCATCACACACCCCTTGACCTCTATAAAGAATACCTAAGTTATTAAAAAACAATATTTTCATTATATCTTTATGTATATTTAAAATAAGAACAACAATACAAATTATGGTTTTAATTAATTCTATAAATTTATTTAATTGTGTAACCTATATCTGAAAATATTATATTCTTTAGATGGAAATAAATGCATATAGAAATACATTTTAATCACAAAGCTGAAAGGTAGTTACCATTTGTATAGCGTCCTGGTACCAAGGAGGAGGGTAATTTTATCTTGGTGATTGGGTAGAAGTTGTGGTTTCTATAAAAATAGGCCGCAAGATTATTTTTTTTCAACATGTCTTCCATTTCAAGTATGGCAAGGTTTAAGAATCCAAACAAATCTGGAACTGGTATGTAACTAGAATCATATTTAAGGAGATTATATATAGCCTATGCCTAGGCTAGGTAGCTAGCTAGTAGTAGTAGTAGCCTAGCCTAGGCCCTAGGCCTAGTAGGCCCTAGCCAAGCCTCCGCAGGCCAAAGGCTAGGCCTAGCCTAGCCTAGGGCCTAGGCCTGGCCTTAAAAGCTACGTTTACATCAAGCCCGGAGTCCGGAGAAAAAATAGTGAAAATGGGTTCAGTGGTAAAGTATAGGACCGTCCACATCGAATTCGTATGATTTCTAAACCGGACACTTGGTCCGGAGAATTCGATCCAACTCGGCCACAAGTCAACTCGGCCACAGTCAACTCGGCCACAAGTCAACTCGGCCACAAGTCAACCTGGCCACAAGTTAACTCGGCCACAAGTCAACTCGGCCACAAAAAGTCCGAACTGAACTGATCCGGACTGGATCCGGGCTTGATGTGAACATAGCTTAATGCTTGAAAAAATTTCCTGAGGTCAATGATTACAGTCACGTGCTTGTGTTATTTCTTTTGTTTTAACTCTTGAAAGTTGGCCGTCCTGAGGCAAAACAACGTAACTGACATTTTTGTCAATTTTGTGATAATATCATTTGGGCGAATATTACACACATCTGAATTACAGGCTGTGAAATTTTCAGGTCTCTATAATTAGTCGTTTCAGAGATAGCACCACCTATCTTTAAGCACAAAACTTAAAATCTAGTGATTTTCTGTGGCAAAACAACGTAACTACAAGATTACGCGGCAAAACAACGTATCTGCGATAAAGATACGTTGTTTTGCCACAGAATGGTATTCAAAAATGGTCTTGAGCCAATGGAGTTTGGCAAGGCAAAATCAAATGTTATTGGTGTTTTTATATTAAAATAATCTTAATCAGAGATGTATGAACAGGCTAAGTAATGCATATGATTGCCCCAAACGTGATAAATTCCAAAAATATGTCGCACTTGCAACAATATCGAGTCTGACATGTTTTTTTGGCAAAACAGCGTATCTGTAATTATCGCTAATAACTTTGCAATAAACAAATGATTGTAATTAAAATTTTAAATATAATCACAATGTCTATAGATATACAATCCTGCAAAATTTCAAAAGGCAAAAAAAGGCTACAACAATTTATTACGAAGTTACCAACTCCATTTTTCTCCAAAAGTGAAAATTTCAAGTTACATTGTTTGTGCCACGGAACAGCAGAAGTGTGAATAAGAAAGCAACTTGCAGTGTATTATGATATTGACAATAAAGGAATCTTGAATCTTGAAAAACTCAAAGGCCAAACAATATAATCTAGATCTAGAAACATGGCCTATTCAAATAACATGTCATCAACATGATTACCTATCATGTCCATAAATAATATTTAAAATGCTTCCTTTGCAGTTCCATCTTTGAGCAGAAGCAGTAATCTACGTCGTAGTGGCAGTATGGGGAGCCTTCGACGTAGTACCACTCCAACTGGCTTAGCTCCTAATTTTAATGCTACGTAAGAAACTATGTGTGTTTAATCGAATAAAGTTAAATAACCTTCCAGAGTTTATATTATATACTGTAAATTCCAGTAAAATGGTTATAATATGTGATTTTTTTTTCATTATTCAAGTTTTGCTAATAAATTTAGTAATTGTAACCAGCTCTTTCTGATTTCGCACAAGCACCCAAAACATTTGAGAATCAAAATTTTTAACATTTTTGGGTTTTTTGCATTTTATATAAGAAGATGTGTTTAAGAACTTTTCAGCAAAATATCAAGTCTAACTGAGAAGTATTTTAAAATTTAAAAAAAAAATACAAATCCTAATAATAAATTATTGATTGTTGAAACTTGGGATGCTGTTTTCTTGAAACCTACATGGCTTATATGTAATAAATTAAATATTCATAAATTCACTAAGGGCACATAGAAAAGATTGTTAGATTATCACTCCAGACCACCTTAAAAATTGGGGAAATATTGATGCAGGAATGAATTTTTTTTTTTTTGCCGCATTATTTATTTCAACAGCATAAAAAAAACAGTTCCTCCCCCATCGATAAAAAAAGCAATATTCTATTGTTCCGTTAAAAAAAAAACCCCGCCCTCATCACTTTATTTTAAAAGAAAGAGTGATAATCTAATAACTTTTTCTATGTGCCCTAATACTCTACCAATTTCCATCAAATAAACACAGTTTTAAAGAAGAATTCATACAGAATCTAACAATACCAAAAGCTCAGTTTTGAGTTTTCCCAACAAATGGCTGGTTTTGCCAGAGCTGGTCACATTTATGAGAATTACAATAAAAGTTATCTTTACTGTACTATAAAAATTCTCATTCAGTTCCAAAGTCCAATCCTGATTGCTCATGACGATTACATGTTTCTTTTTTCTTTTTTTTTTTTAACTCCAGGAAGACATCAAAGAGTACTGCTAGTTATCCAAACTTGGAGGCAGAGTATATTAAAAATCTTCAACAGCAAATCTACTTCCTAGAACTTGAAGCTAATTTTCTATATCCTTTCAATCTGCATAAAATTATTTCTTTATAAACATTATTTCTGATCTTTATAAAACAATAAAACAATTACAAATTGGTAAGATTGGTCATAGCAGTATAACAACTGAATTGTGACACAAAGTTGTTGAAAAGTCTATATGTTTAAAAACCAAAAGGAAAAGACACAATAAATATACCCTAAAAACCTCTATACCTTAAAAACCTAATTTTGTAGTAATACAGCAGCATGAATGATATAACCTAGTATGGAACATTAGACAGATTATAACAAAATAATAATAACATGATCATTATTTTTCTAACAAAATTAATGATGTACAGTAATGCTGTACAATATAGGATATTGTTTAATATAGGATATTGTTATACATTTTCAAACTAAAATTTGTGGACATCTTCCTTAGCATTTATTACTAGAGACCAGACAAAAAAAGCAACTGAACTGCATCCAAAGATGACAGAGGAGGCCACAAGAATGTTGGTGAAACTCAAGGTATTTCCCCCACCCAACACACAATTTTATGTTGTCACAACTCATTTCTTCACTGCAGGCAAAAAATTGTATTACTTTTATCTTTAATACTGTAAATTTAGTATCTAAATTGCTGTGAATTACTGTATTATTAAGGTCTTCTTGGAGGAATTTTAAATACAGCAGTACTACTACTACAAAAGTAAATCCAGGTTGCATGGTGCCTTATTTATCTGTTTTAAATGTCAAAAGAACGATTGAACAAAACAGTATTTAATACAAATTTTAATGTTTAATTATTTTTTTAAATTATTTATTCTACTGTTACTTCCTGTTATTCGAAAAATATAATGTAATTTTGAATTGTGATTTATTGTTATTGATTTTGCATTATTATTATTATGATCATCATGATTGTGATCACCATTGCCATTGTCATCATACTGTACTTGATATTTATGTGATTGTTTACTAATTGTTAATACTCTAAAATTTTTGATTGTTTAATATATCATGTTTTGATTTTGTTTGTTTTCTTATATTTTTCTTGGACGCACCGTTTTGTACGTGTGCCACTGTTGTAAAAGTGTAGCTTCCAAATAAAGAATAATAAATATTGCCCTGATCAAACATAAAACAAATTCACAATCAAAATCTTTAAAATGAAAAAGAGCCCTATAAGATCACAAGGTCGTTTCGATAGTGGTCCACTTTGCTTTTATGCTTGTTATAGCCAAGTGAATTTATTATACTGTATCTTCATTATTGATGTTGTTTTTATTATGCTTTTCATTTCAGGAACTCCAAATGGATGTTGACAATATGACCCTTGAAATTAAACGTAAAGAGTCCAACCTGGATATGGTCAGCAATGAAAAGGAAAGGCTTGATAGCAGGTTGAAGATGCTAGACGGTAAGTTAAACATTTCCAATTCATTGAGAAACTAAGAACAGTAGTACTAAACAGACCTATAGTTCTTCAAGGAACTAAGTGGCTGAAGCAGAACTGTAGTTTTACTTTTCTGCGGTGCGCCGATGATAATTATAATTTTTTGTATTCACCAATGATTATAACATAGGTTGTTTCATTTTGCAAGACTAACAACTTAGTCATTGGAATGTTTTATGTAACAATTGGTGCAAAAATATAAATGAACAACAAGTGTCTTTGGAAATTGTGATCACAATTAAAGATGTATAACTTACAGGAACCTGAATGAAGTTTTGTGCACAACATAGACTGTCTGTTATCATAGGCGTAGATCGCGGGGGATGGGGAGATATATCACCCCCCAATATTTGGAAAGGGGGGGATTGTCCATTGTATCATCCTCCCCAATATTTTGACTATGTATGGGATAAAATGGAGCTTTACACACTCCAAAAGACTGTCACAGAAATAATTTGCACTGTCTTATGCACTTACAAAGATGAAAATTAGCATTATGTATTAATGTTGATAACAAAATTATTTTGTCTGGTACCAATCTAAGCTCTTCTTTCCTTAGATGTTAGATGTGCTTGCAGAGAGAGCCACATTTCACACTGAAGGGTGTGTACAACATAAGTAATGTTATGTCAATTCCAAGAATGTTTAAGGTTATATCGGCTGATGAGGAATTTATTGATTAGGCCTATAATAGCAAATTGCATCAATTTATTTTGCAAAAACAAGGTTTCCCCTGTCCGCACAAGGGCACACATTGGCGCTAACACCAGGTGCGTAACAGGGTCTTGGGTCAGAGTGGGTATTTATTTTCCTGGTTAGTAATTTACCATACCCACCCCACCCCACTCCCCATATAGAAAACAATACGACATAGGGCTTATCTTATTTATAATATAGGCCACACACATGTGTTTGAAACTAAATATAAGCATTTTCATCATGGTTTTATTTATTACAAACATATTCTTTCACCATCAATACACATTGAGGCCCTTCTGTTAGGTTAAAACGATCTATCTTAAAAAATTTGTCTTTCTTGAGTTTGGGACTATTAGGCCTATGTGTTTAAATAACTTAAAAGGATAAACCTAAAAAAGCCCTATAAAATGTGCGCGAAAAATATTTTTGTGTTTTTAATTCTAATTTCGTCGGAATTGATGAAAATTCCCAAAAATGTGCAATTTATAGAGGAAATTGACCTACCGCAACAAGAAATGCGCACAAAGAATTCGAGAATTTTAGGCACTTTCAGAGAACGCATTTGTCAAGGGGTGGGGAAAGATTTTCCAAAGATGGATATTTTTCCCTTGTCCCCCGGTGTTTTTAATGCTAATTTCGTTGGAATTGATCAAAACTCCCTAATGTGCAATTTTTAGAGGAAATTGGCCTATGTTAACAAGAAATGCGCGTGAAGTGCGCGAAATTTGAGGTTTATAGGCACTTTCAGGGGATGAAAAGGGCATTTATAAAGGGGTGGGGAAGATTTTTCAAAGATAGATATTTTCACCTTGTCCCCCAGTGTTTAAGCCATTGGGCAGCATAGATCAAAGGAGTTATGACAGTTTTTGAAGTGGAGAAGGGGTTGCAGGGTGTTGTGAGTCTGATCTAATTTATTATTGTCTTGTCACTTTCAGAGACACATTCCAGAGAAAAGAAACTGTTGGTTGAAGAAGTGGTCATGTTGAAAAAGCAGAATGATATAATCCAACGTGAGATCTCTGAAAAGGATCGCGAGATTCTGCAAGCAAAAGCAGAGGTTGACAGCAGAACCACATCCTTAAGCAATGCAGAACATCAAATACATATTATAAAAGCACAGGTGAGTGTAAACCTTTTGTTTGGAATGGAGCTGGAGCCTGGTGATTTAGGGTGCCTTCTATCTAATCCAATTGTCCTGGCCTCAAATCCAGAGAAAGCCAAAAGTTTGTCACATAAATAGAACAAAAGCTCCATATACACATCATAATAGGACTTATTTTACACATCAATCTTGTAACACCTTGGAACTACTGAAGCAAATTACCCAACCTAACTTAGCTCTACATAACTAAGTGCGCTTTTCCACATTATTACCCCAGTCATTGAAACGATGCCTATGGGGGAAATTCCATGTTTGCTACATGAAATTTATCAGCGCATTTTACACTTGAACCTCTTCAATTATTCTCTTATGCTCCTGGGTGGAGAGAGGAGCAATGCAGATAAAGTGCTTTGCTCAAGGACACAACGGTGCCAGAAGTTTTCAAACAGAGGGGTGCGAACCAAGGGGGGCGGGGGCGACGAAGCCTCCCTTGTATGGTTCACGGGGAGAGTATGGTTCACGGGGAGAGTATGGTTCACGGGGAGAGTATGGTTCACGGGGAGAGTATGGTTCACGGGGAGAGTATGGTTCACGGGGAGAGTTTTTATGGCTTAGTGTGGTCCAAAATTTGCTTTTAGACCAAAATATTAGGGATTGGCAGTCAAAATAATGTTATTTGGATAGGCAAATTATTATTATTTTAATTTTTGATCTGGCGACTTAGTCATGCATCTGACAACAGGGGGATTCCACCCTGACGCTGCCATTGGGACACAAGCAAAGTGTATAGCGAGGGGTTGAAACCCCGGCCTTGGGGTGCGCCAAACTGCTTCAACCACACTTGTTGTTGAATACGAAAAAATAAAGATATAAAGACAGTAAATAAATTACACATTGTGCTGATTTACTCATTTTACGTATATTTTATACCATAGCATATACTTTACGGTTTATCTTGCCTCCTCAGTTGGATCAAAAGAACGAACAACTGAAGTCGACACAGCTTGCTTTGGAGGAGAAACGAACTGATCTGGTTAAGACACAGTCTCAATTACATGAAATGGAGGATAGGTTTTACTCAAGTACAGCTGCACTACAAGACAAAGCAGTCCAAGACCATAAGGTATGCAAAAATGCTCATGTTAATTGTAGCAGTCTCACTTGTTAAGATGATAATTAAGAGTGAGCCCAAATTCATTCTGCTGCTTCTTGAAAACATTCTCGGATCTCTATCATAGAACTTCGTTTCAATTAAGCTCTGTACACGCTATCAAGTATTTTTGACAAATATGTGTGCTGTGCCCATACATGGGCATGATGAAGTCATATTACACTCAAAAAGTCACATTTTTTTGTCACATAAAATTTAATAGTGTGAACTAGTGTGAACTAATAGTGTGAAATGAGCTGCACCAACTATTGTATGGTTTATATTCTCATTATTTGTAATCAGATATTAATTAAGCTCCTTATTTATTTTCCCCAGGATCAAATACGAGTGCTTCAGCAAAAATTTAGGGAGGCAGAGCTCACTGCTGAACAGGACAGATACATGAAGAATAAAGTAAGTTAAATAATCATCATAACATATTTCTTATTATTTCTTAAATTTTGTCATGTGTAAATTCCATGGGAAACCACATTGGTACCAACATGTATGCTACAGCCCTACCTTGTGGTCAACTACAGGAAGAAACTTAAGGTTTATTCAACCAGGTAGTTGGTAAGTCTCAACCAGGTAGTTGATGAGACATTGTGTCTATTCTAACAATTTATTCATTTTTTCACAGATGTCAGATGATTGTGCTAATCTTGTGAAGGAGAATGCTTTATTTGGAGCTCAAATCTTGGAGCTTAATAAACAGCTAGAGCGAGTAAGTTCACATTAAGCCAGGTTTACATAAAATCCCTACACGCTACCGACAACAGCTGTCAGCGATGTTGATTTGCCAGTCAAATTGAGGAGCCTTTAGTAATTTAGTAATCAGGATAATTTCCATATATAGGTCCATCAGGATAACTGGTGGGGTTTAAGTAAAGACTAATATTCCGTTTTCCCTGACAATTTCATGTTCTTAACCATTTTTATCTTTTTATTTTTATTTTAGGAACGTGATTTACGAGAAAGCCGTGATACCAAGCACGCTACTAGTATCACTGAGCTTGTGAGCTTCCGAGACAAAGAAAAGCATCATCAGTTTGAGTTGAACCAGCTTAAAGATCAGCTACGATATGAAAGAGAACGTGTTGAACATCTAATGCAGCAGGTAAGACATAATATTAAAGAGGTTTCGCACGTGAACGAATACGTGTACACATACATTTAGCTATCCGTAATGGTTTGTAGCCATTCTGTCGTTTTTGCAATCACAGCGAAATTTAAATGTAGGGCCTAGGCCTATTCCATTTTTTCTCTCATCATGCTTCTTAAAATCAGATTTTGGCATGGCCTAAAGGTTTGGTATGTAAGGTTTTGGTAATTGGAAGTGGTAGCAGAATACATAATACTCTTTCCTTGTTGCAGAGAAGAGTTGGTTAATTTTGTGATAAGCCCTATTGTTTATGACCCAAAAATGCCTGGCTACTACTAACCTAGGCCTACATGAAATAAAAGTGGCAGCATTTAGTGCAGGCTGTACCAGTGTAGCAAATCCCGACACCACCAAGCACCAACGTTTTAATACGTTTTTTAAACTTACTGTAAAATGTGAAAAGAAAAAAAAACTAAGATCCTACTAGAAATCCCAACATTTTTCTACCCGTTTTTCACTTACGTGTAGTGAGCGAGATATCTCCTTCATCAGTTTTTATTCTTTGATTTAGTATGATATTTTAATTAAATTACCCTTCAGACACTCAGAAATGTTGAAAACTATCTGAATTTACAATGCAAATACACATAAAACAATCAATATAGGAACAAATAATTTTAAAAAGAATACAATTTATTTAGTTAAAACATTTTGATTAAAGTACTCTTCACATCTTCCTTAAAGTAATTTATTGGAGTGGAGTTGCTTGCCTTCTAATCGCATGGTCCTTGGTTCAATTCCTGTCACATCAGGAATGTTTCTTTCGCATAAAAACAACTCCACTACCATCAATAAGAGAATTGGTTTATAAAGCATCATTCCATCCTGCAAGTGGCGAGTTTACTTGTAGTTTGATGTGAAGGAAATTAAAAAAAAAATATTACTTAATAGGAATTAATTACTTTATGTTGTCATTGCAGAGTTAAATTTTATATAATGAAACATTCCATTATATACAGTATGTTAATAAATCTGTTTCATGCACAGCTATCAAAGCAAGAGCATCTGAACACGACTAGTACTTTAGGGCATAACACAACCAAGAGCAGACTAGCAGAGCTTGAAGGAAGGCATGGAGGACTTGAGCAAGAGAATACGGCTTTGCGTAGGGATAAGATGCTCCTGGTCGACCATGTATCAGACCTCCAACGACAGGTACTCACAGTTAGCATGCTATTTGATTTATTTATGATTCTTTGTATTAGTTCATCCATACTTAGTCTCGTCTCCACCCTCCCACATAGGCATCAGCATAGTTACATCAGTTCAAAGCTTGTAGTTCTATTTATAAAATACAGATCAATCAGGTGAGTCGAAAGGCTGAGCGGTTAAGGCAAGAACCCACAGCAATAATATTGGCGCTGGTTCAAATGGCATGCTCGCCTATGGTTCCGGAGGTGGAACAAGTCTTCTTGGATAGGGACTATAAACCGTAGGCCTAGTGCACACAATTGGTTCATGTACACTATAAAGAACCCAGAACATATTTCGAGACGAGTAGGGGGTTATCCTGATGTACCTGGTCCAATACTCCTGTTGTGGAGACGAGAGTAGCTGGTAATGGTTTACCAGGTAGCTTGGTCACAAAGAGAGCCCCCTGGGGGGGGAGAAGAAAGTTACTGCCTGAGCTAATGCAAGCTTCAAGTGTTCTGATCTCCATGAAATAGGACTGCAGTATATAAGTGCTGAAATATATGCTAGATTTTTACTGAAACTAACAATAACCATACTATGTAGCTTTCAGAAAAGGAGCAGGAAGTGATCAGCCTACAGACACATGTGCGCTCAATGGAATTGGAGTTGCAGGGTTATGAACGCAAATCAATGCTTGAATCAACTATCCAGAGTCAGAAATGGGGCGAGTTTGAGAAGATGGCTGAAAGCATGAAAAAGCTATCGCACAGTATGACAGCACGATCAATGAGCCCCGATTATGCATAACTGTCAAAAGGTTTGGCTCTCTAAACCAGTATAAGTTTTTAATTTTCCGATTGAGTGGTTTTTAAAATATTTATTTTATATAAATTTCTGCCTACTTATGCATTATATAATATTATATTGACTTCATTAAGATGTTTTTTAGGATGTAGAAGTTTTCTACCTGGATTTTATTTTCACCCTTTTTTGATAAATATTTATAGTTTGTATTTCAAAAGAGTAGCAAAATGTTACTCGGTAAATATAAAAATTCTGAAGGTAAAAGAAAGAATGAGTAATGTAAATAAATATATATTTTTTATTCAAACTATTAGTTTTAATTATGTAATGGATGATCATATCTCCATACTACTTTAATTTTATTATAAAGATAATAATGACTAGTACAATTTGATTGTGGACAAATATAAGACCAGTATTAATGGGAATATAAAGGGACATACCTTGATTACAATTGTGTGTTCTTAAAAGAAAATATATAATGTAGAGGTACACTTAAGATTCTTGTTACATTAAATTAAGTCATTATACTATAGTTAAATAATCTTATGTGAATTCTTATTTAAATATTACAGTTTCAAACCAAAGATAGCATAACGCAATGTAAAAACAGACTTTAAGTTGTAGATAGTAGGTAAATTCAACCACTGATGCGATGCAGATATCCATTTTTCTGGAGTACAATTTATCCAGATAATTCTCTTGTTTTAAAATTGTATCAAAACAATATTAACAATCAATCAATTGGTTCTTTATAAAGTGCACATGTTTATCAATAGGAAAATACTCATTGTATCAAATGTACTCGCCCTAAATTTAAAATTTTATAAGAAAGTGCGAGTTTGAATGCCACTAGTACAGAATATTTTCTATCTGGTGTATATTAGAGTTTTTGAATTTATAAAAATTTACAGTAATGTAATATGGAACAGGTAATCACCAAAATGAACACAATTTTGCAATCAAGCTATCAGTCCACCATTCTACATTATAAAATGAATAATCCTCTCAAAAAATGAGTAATCATTGCATTCATGTATACACATATTTTTATTATCCAACTGATACAAATATGGTAAGTTACTGTGATTGTTTCAATGTAGATAGTGTGTTTCCCTTTTGTGAGTGAAATGGTAATACTGTAACAATATTTTGTTTTAGCTATATTTTGTATTTTATTTTGAAACCAGATTAGCAAACAAAATTGTACATCTTTTTTTGTATTCATTGAGCAAAGAATCAAATGAAGAAGAAAGCCAACTTCACACTACATAATTTAGTGTACATAATTAAAAAAATATATTTACTGTTTCCATGTTTTCATTGGCAGGTAATTATAACTCATAACTAATAGATTACTTTAAGATCAATAAAAATACATTCCCATTTTCAATAAAGTTTTCTGATCTTCTAAATTTTCATCGTTGTGTTGTTTGTCTTTGATGAACAATCCATTTTCCATAGCAACATTTGTAGTAACATCACAAGCTCACATTCATTCTGAGATGCCTGTTAAAAATTTAAATATCCTAAGCCCTCAAGCTTGTGATTTGTTACGTAGCAGGACTGATAAAAAGAACATGTACAGTACCAGACACACAACTTGCACAAAATCACTGTCATGTTCATGCGCATGAATTTTAACTTTGGTAACAGTTGGACCTATCTTGGAAGTATAACTGGCCATTGCAATGCCTATTTTTCTTTCCTGGGGCATTGAACATGTCCTGTGTTACATTTTGTCTTGTGTGTATCATCATGCGACTCGTGCATTTAGGGGTCTCGCGTTCAAGTACTAAAATCTCACACCTAAATTTTAATACCTATATTATAAAATATATGTATACTATTTATGAACATTGTAGCCCTCTTACTAAAAATACCTAGCTGCACTAACACTGTGAATACAGTATGTTGTTTCATAAAGCACTGTTGGATAAGGTCAAGAAAAAATAGCTGATCCTGAATGCATATTTGAGCAATTAGAAAACAAAATCCCCTAGAGGCAGAATTTTCAAAAGTCTTGTGGTATTTGTATCCTATTTTACACCTGCAAATTTGTCTAACTTGGAAACTCTGACGTGAACATTACCATTCATGATTACAGTTGATCTAATGTTTTATAAACCGTTATCTCTGCTTGCTTCAGTTATTATGGACTTGTTCCTTGTTCCAATCTAGTTTTCTTTTATTTATAAAAGCATCAATTCCTTCTTGGCCATCTCTTAGTCATAAGTTTTCTACCATCACCTGACTTGCTTGTCTTGTTTACTACTTGTCTGGGACTTTGTCAAAGCCATGTTTCCAATCTGGTTTTCTTTTATTAATAAAAGCATCAATTCCTTCTTGGCCATCTCTTAGTCCTAAGTTTTCCACCATCACCTGACTTGCTTGTCTGTAACAAAACAAACATACACACATCATATAATGCTCTACATATATACACAAAATCTTCATTATGAGGCTAAAGGGAGTAGGATGTAATAAAAATATGATATTGAATTGCATGTATTTGAATGTTATGTGTTTTTTTTGTGATGTTTCTTTTTATTTAACTACATTGTACATTCTTAATGTTTTTTATTCTATTATATAGGTAATTTTAATGTAATTATTCTACTATTCATCAATTTCAGTGTACAGTTAAACTTGCCTAAGTCGACTTCGCCGAACTCGAATAATTTCTAAGTCAAACTTATTTTACATGCTAAATTGTTGTGTTTTCCATTAATTAACAATCTGCAAGTCAAATTTTATCCAAGTCAAACAATTTTTCAATGGCATTTTGGATTCGACTTAGGCAAGTTCAACTGTATATGATAATTATAATAATATAATAATAATAATATAATTTTCTCAATGTTTCTCTTTTAATTAAATTTTTCTGCAATTTTAATGTTAAGCCTATACATAAATTTATTGTCCTGGTTGTGCAGTGGTTTCGTTTCTTGATTTGTATTTCTCCTTTGTTCTTTTGTTAGTTAAGACTTTTTGATGAATAAATACCATTATATAATTATAATATAACAAACTTTACAGTATATCAATATTACGGTGCCAAAAGAATGATTGATTGCAAACTATGATATGCTGATGGCTATCAACCACAACATCAACCTACGGTATTTAATTTTTGTATTTGAGTGGTTGTATGCAGGATTATTTTCTTGGGATCCTTATGTGATAAGGCTACTGAGTTTTGAGAGAGTACAAATGATATAAAGTTCTCCAATAAAAATTAAAGTGAGAGGGGTCCCCAATCCCTACTGATTTTTCCGGCAGGAAAAATGTCTTGAAAGGAAACGGAATTAGTTAGAATTTATTACTTTTTATACCATTAGGGAACATATACCTGTCTCTTATACACATCTAGATGTGTATAAGAGACAGGTCTATATCTGTATGTGTGAATGAGTGACCGCTTCTTCAGAATTACTTACCTATACGCTGCATTTCTATCCCTTGCCATCTGACCGTTAAAACAGGCCTTTCCTAAAGCTGTGACTGATCTACTTGCTTGACAAATTTTCTTAGCAATGTTCATAGTCTGTAAAGACATTAATATTTTTGATAGAATTCTTGAACATGTAACATGATACAAATACCACCTTCATTCATATTCCTCCTCCTATCAAGTTGATTGTGCATTTAGTACATTATAATGTCCCGATTATCAAATTTTGTTTGACAAAAACATGTGACATTCCTAAATATGGTCATAATGACATCACGTCATGACCATCAGCACATCACTAAATTTTAGGTACACTGGCTTAACACAAATATTCTCTTATGTCATTGTTGACATCAGAAGTTGAATATGCTACAGTGAGTAGATGTATTATGCTACCTGGGCCTGCATTGTTGACAGGCTGTGAAGTGGCTCAGGCTATGTTTTAGCCCCAGGCGCAAGTATTTAATGGAATGTAAAATAATACTTGTGGAAGTGGTTTGGTCCAGCGGGAACGCTTGGGTTTCCCAACCTTGAGGTCGGGGGTTTCAATCCCTCGCTGTGCATTTTGCTTGTGTTCTTCAGCAAGGCACTTTATCTACGTTGCTTCTCTCCACCCAGGAGTATAAATGGATACCTAGTGAGGTTGCCTGCTACTGCGCCAATATGGCAGTAACACGTGGACCCAATGATCAAGTAAAAAAACTTAGATAAATTAAATTAATTAAATAGTACTTAAGTAACCACTTCGAGCCTTGTCTGATGTGATTTCAGGAAAAAAAAAAAAGGAGAAATTACAAAGTGAGCATAGCATGCCCCACCCACCTGCTCTTCAAGCTGCGCCTCTGACACAACACGGCTGACTAATCCATGACGCAAGGCAACTAAAGAGAAAATAAACATGCTGTATAAACAATAATAATAATAATCAAAAATAACCATAATAATAATAATAATAGTATTATAATAATTGTAGCAATATTATTATAATATAATCATAATAAGAACTTTAAAAACAATATAATACTACCAAAATGGCAATAAACCAATGCAAAGTATCAAGTCGACAACTAATTTACAAATGTTTCATAAAAACAACTTCTTTTAATTCGGTATAAAAGATTTGCTCTTTTGGGATATTGCCATTTTTGTTATTGTTGTTTTGGTTTACTGCAATTTTGACCTGCTTCTAATAATATAATAAAACTAGTAATAATTAATAATAACAATGATATTAAAAAAAAAATAAACATACTAATAATAGTAAAAATAATATTATTAAATTGATATGAGATGGGATAGAGGAATCAATTAGGCTAAACAAATAGTACTCAATAAATACTACAAATATTAAGTAAACACATAACCATTATAAAAAAAATATCATTTGTGGCAAAGACAAGCCATGGCAGTCACTCGTCGCAATTAACAATTTGGTGATGGTCTCTGCCGGAGAAATGCCTGATTTCTCAAATATTGTTCTTTAAACAGCTCTATGTTTACATGCTTGTAAACTTCATTAGGGAATGTCAGATTTAAATGATTTTTTAAAAATTATATAGCTCTCATTTTACTGTTTAACCCTGTATTAATAACTAAAAATCGAATTTTGTGACCAGTGACTGGTTTGGCTTGTCTGTGCCACATTTATTCATTGTTGTTCTGCTATAGGAAAACTTGATTCAAGAGCTTTTGAAATTATGGTAACTGCCTGCTGCTCTTCTCATACTTCTCCATAATAAATCCCAATAGTCTTATTTCTTCTTCTTACCCATTAGTTGAAAAATTACAAGAAAAAAAAAAAAATTTGCTAACAAAAAGGTCAAAGTTTAAATTTAATAACTATACCATCAGCTGTGATTGGTTCTCCAGTAAACAACATTTCCATAGCAACCTTCCTAGGAACCGCTCTTCCCAAGGCAACACCAGGAGTTGAGCAAAACAGTCCAACATTTACGCTGCAAAGAAATTATTTAAAAAAAACAAAAAGTAAAAACATTAAATTATATTTACACTGGCATAATGAAGAGGTAATTATTTATTTTCATAGGAGTGAAGTTTTGCCCTACATGACGCGTCATTGTACCGAATACTCAGTACGTTCCCAAATATGTGTGAAAAGAATTCACAATTTTTGTTCGCAAATATTTGGGATGTGTACCGAGCATTCGGTCAGGTAGGGCAAAACATCATTCCTATGATACTTTCCTGATGCAAACTCGCATCAAAATATTTATTTTCAAATACCCAAAACAAAACTTTATAACGGTGAAAATTATCCACAATAAATTAAGAGGTGAAAATATTAAAATAGTGTACCAGGAAACAATCATTAAATGAGAAGTTAGAGTGATTCGTTCTTAATACCCAAAATGAAATTCGGATGCAGAAAAAGCAAAAGTACAGTATTGCTATCTAATCTGCTGCCTCCTATCAAGGCACAGCAACTGAATATTATAATGATGAATAAATTTCAGCAAATTGGTCTCTTTCCATTATTTATGGCTACATTAATGACTAACAATACAGAGCAATAAATAGTAAATACAATAAGCAATAAATTTGATCCAATCAAGTTTAGAATGATTAAAAAGACTGATATAGAAAAGGTATGTAACATAAAAAATGAATTAAAATTTAAAAACATACTATAAAACAGATTCCAAATGATACAAGTGTGAACAAGTAAAAAATACATAATTTCCTAATATACCCTTCCGAATTATATTGTATTATTTAAATATTAATTCATATATATACCATATACTCGGGTATAAGGCGACCCGCATATAAGGTGACCCGCCATTTTATTGTCGGAATTCATACTTTTTGCTGCTGTTTTTATGGTCTTGATACTGCATCTAGCTGGCTAAAAATGGAGCCAAATGTAGGGATCATCTTCAAAATAATACTTATTTCCCAGTAATTAAAATTGCGTTCATTCATATTAACATTTAGAAGCTTATTTACAGTAGTAAATTCGCTTGTTAAGGATGGATGATCTGCACATAGACGAACATAAATTTCGACAATCTAATATGTCGCGCCTATAAGACGACCCCTGTTTTCGATCGTAATTTGCTATTTCAAGCCTCTTCTTATACATGATAGAAAGTATTATTAAAAATTTTTTTTTTTTTTAAAAACCCCCCCAAAAAAAACAGAATGTAACAGCTAAGCCAAGATACTAGTCATTCATATGAAGACATATATAAATTGTCACTATATGCAACATAAAAATCAGCAAATTAACTCCTTAAACACAGACTTTTGCTGAGTACTGTACTGTACATACCCAGGAGTGGCAAATCTGGAGTTGTCTGCTGCTACAGCTATATCACAGCTGGCTACCAACTGACAACCAGCAGCTGTGGCTAGGCCTTGCACCTGGGCAATCACAGGCACAGGCAAATCTTGAATCAACATCATCACCTCAGAACATCTTTCGAAAACCTGCGTATGGTAATCTCGTCCTTCTTTAGATGTCTGTATAAGATACAAGGTTAAGAATGTGTATTTCATTTCACTTATTTAACTTTTTTAAACATGTCAATAATCTAAAATTATAAATATGTAAGAAAGTGTGTCTCTGTTTCCTCAAAATCCCAGCATGGTAACCAAACTTGAAATAAATTACTGTCAAAATGCTCCCCAAGAATTGTACAGAAGTAGAAAATACCAACACAAAAATAACTTTGATTATTATACAAATAAGCAAGTGTATAAAGTGCGCTGCTACAATGTTTTCCATGCATTCATTATGATTTTAAAAGTGAAATTTTCGAGTGTCAGTAACACTTGCAAAGTCATTATACACTGACATCGATGACAGTCAGCAAAGACAAAAATTTATACAAAAAAATTCCATTATTGGTACCAAAATGTCACTTAATAGACGGCTTTTGGTATTTTGCGGTTCTTTTTTTAAAATTTGGGATTGAACAGGGAGAGTAAAGATTTGAATGCTTTAATCCACATCATGGATTCTTCTATGAATAAAAGAAATCAAAATTACTACATAATATTACAGCACAATAATCTATAATATGCTGATGATAATCACACTCACTAGTTCTTTAAGGTCATGACCTGAGCAGAAAACTGGACCAGAAGAGGTCAGCACAATGACCCTTAATTGATCATTCTCCACATCATCCAAAAGATCAGTTTTTAAGCTATTAAGCATGGACAGCGACAGGGCATTTCTAAAGAATCAACAACATATTGTATAAATTAAAAATCAATGTAACAGAAGTGTTTATTACAGTACAATTGGCGTTGGGTGTTTGCATTAAATTTCTAGATCATACAGGATGGAGGTTAAGCCACAACAGCTGCAAGAAACAAGCCAGTAATATTCAATATTTATTAACATTGCACCTTTTCTTTGGATCGTTTAGAAAGATTTTCTTGATTCCATCTTCTAATGTTGAAATTGTATATTGATGGTTTGCGGAGTTTGTGAATCTACGTATCAGTATCTGTAAAAGAGGAGGGCGCAGTTGTAATGCAGAGTTCTGTAGAAAATTATATTTTGAAGGAATTTTTAGGACATTGTTAAATATGTTATCTTAATATTATTTAAAAGTGCAAATTAAAAATAATTTTTTGTAAAATAAGTCTCAAGACTTAAGTGTTGTAAAGTACAGTATTATAGCTTCATGATATTAAAATATTATTGCATGGCGGTGGATACATGAAAAACCACCTCAAATTTGCACGGGCGAAAATCACTAACTGTGCAGTATCTTAACTGCTACGTAATATAATGTATGTAGACCTTTAATAAAGACATAGGCCAAGGCTTAATTTTCTGCAAAGTTTGCACAAAAATTGGCCTTATTGTGCCTAAATGCAAATATTTCCAGGCACTACTTCGGTCTGGCCCTCTGTAAATTAAGACTGGGTGGGAAATGTATTCTTGGCGCAAAAATTAGCCCTAGAAATCTATCCGCACATTTAAAATGAGAGGCCAAATTCTGTGCAGATTTTGCCAAATAATTACTGGCTTTGTTTGACCTAATCTTAATATATAACCTAATTGTTTGCAGTAGTTTAAGATTCTGCCTAAGCTGTAACCAGGGAGATGTAAAACCTCACCGTAAACCACTCTAAACTAAATGAGTGGTGCAAGAGGCTGGTAGGAAAGTAGTGGCCCTCTGAAACTATACCAACTGCTGTAACTATTATACTGTTTGTCTATATCGACCAGGGATTTGGTACTAGGCCTAGGCTAAGTTCCTTCTCGGAGCCTTGTGTTGGCCTACTACTAGGCCACGCTAAAACACTCTGAATTAGGCTGGGGCCTAGGCCTAGCTAGAAACAAATGATGGTAGCTAGTAGTACTAGCTAGCCTGCATGTTTCGCCTTTCGGGGCCCTACTACTACTACTCTGCTGGCTAGGAGCCTAGCCTAGTAGGCCTAGCTCCATAAGCAATGAGATAATGATATACCTTTGACGTTCAAAGGTTACCTCATTTTCTCAACATTCATCGTAGGTCTAGTGTTATTTTTGATGGAAATGAATCGTTTACGGTTTACTAACATTAGAAATTGCTCCGTTCACTTTACCACACATGGACAGCGCCATATTTCCCGATAACGCTTCTGATTGGTTGATATATTAATTTGGCTCACTATGCAACACAAAATAAACAAATCTTCAGAAAAATGGTTTCCATGGAAGAAACACGCGCTATAAATTAAGTACGGTAGTAATTCGTTTTAATCAGTCGATTGTCAAATGCTGTTTGTTGTGGTACAGTAAATGTATTGTCTACTACATTGTGTGAAAATCGAAGTCAATTACATTGTGGATCACTTATTTGTCATCTAGGAAGATTTGAACTTTGATCAGTTTTTAAGATTTACCACAATGATTCAAGATATTGATTTCAGATAATGCACTGAAAGAAGTTACCAACCATGGAAATCTTCTGACCTTCTTGTTGGACACTTGGTTCCTGAGAAAAAATGTTCTGGTACACTCACTTAATACTCCGTCAAGTAGAATGCAGACCTAATTGTGACAGGTGCTGGACAATTTAAAAGCTTATAATGAAAAGAGTGCGTCCTGGTTTTGAAATAAAGTTGACCATGGACATGTGTGGTATTATAATATATGCAATCGTTCTTAATCAATTTTTATCAGTCAGTGGTGATACATCATGTAAAGGTGAGATTGAAAAATAGAATGTCACTGTGTTTGTTTGTGTAATTGATCATAAAAATCCACAGAATCTTGAATGGCCTATTTTATACATAAATGAGGCCTGAATGTACTATGCAGTAGGGAGCGGGGTGTGATGTGTGATGCACCCACGCACCCCCTCCCTCATTCAAGAAAAGTCCACATTTTTAATGGAAAATGCACAGAATATTTCTAATTTTCGATAGTAAAATTTTAAAATGGAATCATAACAGGGGTGGATCCAGTAGGGGGTATGGGCTAAATTTAAAAAATTTCAAAGCATATTTAATATTGTCCTACTCAATTATCTATTCTGAAACTGTTGTGGCCCCCATTTGAAAAATTCTGGATCCTCCTCAGCGTAAGTCTTTAAGTTTTAACCATAATGAAAACTTTTCCCCTATTTTAGCCAAAAGGTCAGTCAGGTAAATTTGACGTAGACGTCTTATTTTTAACAAGTTCGTTATTTTTTGCTTTTCTTTTTTTTTTGCCTTATTATTCTGCTTTTAATTTTTTTTTGTAGTCAATTTGATTTTATTTTAAATTTTATTTATATAATATGTTCTTTCCCTTTGTTACTTGTTTTTTATTATTATTTTTTCATTTTAATTTCTTTTTTTTTCTATTTATATTTCCTTTGTTACTAGTGTTATGTATTGAGGGTCCCTAATGAATAATATTGTTGAAATAAAATATGAAATAAACTAACCGCAGAAAACTTGAAATTCGTCTGCTAGTATTGGCTATGCGGGTGACTTCATTCATAGACGGTAAAAACGGTTCTGAGTACAAAATAAAAAAAAAAAAATGATCACTGGTTATTTAATTAATTAGAATGAGACTTGCACGGCAAGAAAGCTTAATTTTGAGCTACTCATGAACGTTTCCTATGCAAAAGCATAAGATGTTGCATTAATTGTAAGTATATATAGATGATTAAAACATCTAGTTTTATAATCCGATCGCCCCAGATTGCCAAATAAAACCATTCAAATTATATAGTCGATTTTGTGAGAAAAAGGGATCCTGTTTTGACTCATTAACGTGTTAAGGTGTGCAGTGAACCGTTCAGGGGGCAGATGACTCAAAGTTTTCATTATGTATCAGAACCCAGAAAGTAATGCCCTACAACCAAAGCTACATTCAAACCGACTCTCCCCTTAAATCCATTTTTGAGCACTGAATCTTGAAAGTTTGAAAAAAAATATTTTAATTTGATCATTTTTTTAAATTGATAAATGATCATTTATTTAAAATTGATAAATGTTTAATTATTTAATATAATGCTTGCGGTACACCATGTAGATTGTCCTGAAAAGAGCTGTTGTTGGTTGAGAATGTTTTGAGGTTTCGATTGAGTTGTTTTAATCGTCTTCAGGAGAATAATATATTATATTATTATTCTCCTGAAGATGATTGAATCAACTCAATCGAAACGTTGACATTCTCAACCAACAACAGTTCTTTTCAGAACTATCTGTGTGGTGTTCCGCAAGCATTAATATATATTATAATTACTTCACCATGCAAACATTCAAACAATGTTTAATTATTATTATTGCAAGTCACTATAGCCATTATTTGAATTATTTCATTATTTTTTAATTATCAGCTGTGTTTTGTTCATTATAATGACACTAATGTGTTTTTTCTTTTTACAGATGAAATTGTTGACAACACTGTTGAGGTGCTTTTTAATAAAAATGGCAATACTCTGTTTTTAGATGAGGTGTGGGTTTAATCTTTAACAGTTATACTTGAATTTACCTGTTTAAACACCAAATGTTCACGAAGGTGGTTTGGTATGTCACAAAATAACGTTCACACAACATTATAGGAATGTTCAAACGTTGTGATATTGTGAAATTAGGTTATAAGTATGTATAACTTATGGTTCTACAAAATAAAGTTTTTGACACAAAACTGTAATGTTATAACGTTCTTATAACGTAATATTGTTATAAGATTGTAAGTAACAAACTCCAAAAAAAGTGATACAAGCCTTTTTTTATTCATATCGTAATATTGTAAGCTTGTTAAAATCTTCTGTGCACCCAAAGATTGTATTTAGCTAGTGCAACTCTGGCAAAATAATTTGAAGCCCAGCAAACACCAGTTTTAGTGGTTACATTATGTCAGAAGAATATTAACACACCTTAATGCACCTCAATCCTTAAACTTTTATTTTATTTGTTCATTTTTAGTGATGTACTCATTTTATAGTCCTATTTTGTATATATACAGTATATACTTTTTATATAAATTCAACTGGTGGCCACAGCTTAAATTTTTATTTTAAACTTATGTTGGTCTTCTTCCACACACTGATTCTGTAATGTATTATTATTCTTAGTTCATTTTACTATTAAGCTTTTATGTTATGTATGTGTATGTGTGGAGAAATAAATGAAACAAACAAACACAACATTGCAGTCATGTTATTTAGTCAGAAATTACGTTATTTACATGTATTTATACTTCTTTCTACAAAAAAAAAAATGTTGATCACCAAACTACAACAGTGCTAGTTCATTTTCGCCGCAAATAACAGAGATCAATATGATTCTGTACTCACCCTCTAAAACATGTAACGACAAGATGGGATCTCTAAAAAGATACTTTATTTACCTAAATAAATCATGATACAATATACAGTGTAGGGATAAACTCCAGTTCAAGCCATTTTGCGGTAATTATATATATACTGTCTCTTATACA